ATATTAAGCCGAAGATACCAAAGGGGTATTCAAACATAAGCCGAAGATACCAAAGGGGTATCCAAACATAGTCGAAGATACCAAAAGGGTATTCAAACGTAAGCCGAAGATACCAAAGGGGTATTCAAACATAGTCGAAGATACCAAAGGGGTATTCAAACATAAGGGAGCTGCCATTTGATTTTTATTGGGGGGGGGGGGGGGGGGGGGTGAGGGGGGATGAAAAATTGTGTCCTGCATTTTTTTTAGTTGTAATCTACGTCCTGCCTTTTTATTTTTCACTCTATTCTGTCCTGCCTTCTTTTTTTTTTAGTTTATCCTGACTTTTTTTTACATAAATTGTCATCCTGCCTTTTTTTTGTGCAAAGTGTCTCATCCTGCCTTTTTTTTTACTCAAAACTCCTGTCCTGCCTATTTTTTCAAATTTCATCCATAAAAATCAAATGGTACCTCCCTAAGTCGAAGATATACTAGCAACGCCATGGCAGACAAACATAAGCCGAAGATAAACTAGCAACGCCATGGCAGACAAACATAAGTCGAAGATATACTAGCAACGCCATGGCAGACAAAAACAACCAAAACGTGAAGACAAACAACATTATCATGATTATGCATAACACAACACAAAAAACAAAAACGAATGAGCTACAAGAACCCCACCGAAAAAACGGGGATGACCTCAGGTGCTCTAGAAGGTTAAGCAGATATAGAAAATGCATATATACGTAGAAAGCAAATACTTTGATTTCTGCAATTTAATTTCTTCTATACGTCGATTTAAAAGCTCTTGACGGAATGAAATAAATTATCTGTACGTGTGGGTTCATTTTGCTCAATTGTTCGTGTTCTGTGCAGTTGTGGTGGACTGTTTCAACTTTTGTCAGTTTTTTTTTTCTTTTCTCAATGTGTTATGGGGGAAAGGTATGAATTAATTCAAGAAACAAAAAAAAAATCCGAATTGATAAAAATTGGCAGCTGATAAAGTATGTCAAAATAAATGGTTTTATATAGATTAAGGCACAAAATGAATTAACGGATGACTACAGTGCCAAACATTCAACTCGTGCAACTTAACCGTTCTGATCCAATCCAATAAAAATGTCGCATATGTCAAATCTAATAAATGAGATGAAAAATAAAATTTTGTGAGAACCATTATCACGATTCAGAAACAAATTTGCCATGGTTCATTAATGAATTGTCTACCTACTACAATTCTTCCATATCATTATGTAATACGCACTGATGCTGAACATCTTTGTTCGTAAAACCACAACACTAGTTTGTAGTTGGTAAACTCCTCTTGTATAGTTACGTTCATTGTAAAAAAACAGTACTTATCTTGGCAAGAAACTATATTGAGAGTGCACATAAGTCCTGTTTTGAGCTTGAAAGTTATTTTTCTCTTCATTGTTAAATTAATCAAAGTAATCTGTTTTCGAATTTTTGCGGTAGAAGTTTTTGCAACCTTCTTATAGAACGAGGCAGTTTTTTTTTCTGTACTAATTTCTGATGACCTTTTTCTACTTATCGAAGTGCGATCTACCAGAAAAATGAAAAACCGATAGGTGTGTGTATGACAATACATTTGTCAACCTATATTATTTAATGTATTGAGGAGTAGTATAGATTTTATTGAGATTGATATCCTTGTTAATTTTAAACATTGTTTTTTTTTATTTCAAATTTATGAAGAAATTGTACAATAAATTAACTTATGATAACACAGTTTACGTATAACTTCGTATGAGTGAACAGAACAAAGAGTTCAATTGAACTTTTAATTATCGAACACAAACAAGGTGCTTCTTCAAAGGCAAATATATAGTAGCATATTCGTGCGAGGAAATGACTTGAGTGGTCCGCAACTATTTTGTCTTAACATTAAACTCATGGGTCCATAGGGGCCGGAATTGGTATATGTAATTACAACCCCTTATTGATATATTGTTTAACATTGTAAATCATGATGTGTCATTGTAATAAACAATTTGGTATTGTATACACCGTCTTAAAACAATGTTAGAGTTGCAAATCTTCCACCATCTGAAATATAAAGCTTTATACACAGTCAGTAGCGTACCCTCACAATTGTAAAACTATGAAAATCGAAATTCAACAAGAACTGATTGTGACAGACTGCTATTATGAAGTCTCCAAAAGGAAGTCCTCTTAGACCAATCCAAACAATTTAGGTGCGTGTGCCAAATGATATTTCTGAAAAAGTGCTTTATATTTCTTTTCTAAAAATTCATTTTAGTCCCCCTTTGAAAAAATATACACGCATATGACCACAGGAAGTCACCTTGTAAATAATGATGTGTCATTGTAATAAACAATTTGGTATTACAATGTTAGAGTTGCAAATCTTCCACCATCTGAAATATAAAGCTTTATACACAGTCAGTAGCGTACTCTCACAATTGTAAAACTATGAAAATCGAAATTCAACAAGAACTGATTGTGACAGACTGCTTTTATGAAGTCTCCAAAAGGAAGTCCTCTTAGACCAATCCAAACAATTTAGGTGCGTGTGCCAAATGATATTTCTGAAAAAGTGCTTTATATTTCTTTTCTAAAAATTCATTTTAGTCCCCCTTTGAAAAAATATACACGCATATGACCACAGGAAGTCACCTTGTAAATAATGATGTGTCATTGTAATAAACAATTTGGTATTACAATGTTAGATTTGCAAATCTTCCACCATCTGAAATATAAAGCTTTATACACAGTCAGTAGCGTACCCTCACAATTGTAAAACTATGAAAATCGAAATTCAACAAGAACTGATTGTGACAGACTGCTATTATGAAGTCTCCAAAAGGAAGTCCTCTTAGACCAATCCAAACAATTTAGGTGCGTGTGCCAAATGATATTTCTGAAAAAGTGCTTTATATTCCTATTCTAAAAATTCATTTTAGTCCCCTTTGAAAAATATACACGCATACGACTACAGGAAGTCACCTCTTCTAGTTATAAGGATGATATGGTAAAATAAGGGATGACCTACAAGGACTCAGCTGCATATCATTATGTTGTCTTTTAAAGGGGTTTCAAGGTTTCCGAAATATATGATTGATAGGTGTTTTTTTTCCAAATCATTATTGTTCCGTGAGCCTTCAAAGAAATTTACAAAAATGGAAATTCCATCATTTTGAAATTCAATTGCATAAGAATTAAAAAAAATATATAGTTGCTAGGTGCTTTTCAATACTATAATTGTTCTCAAGGATATTGACCAATATTGGAATCTTAACCTTTTCGGAAGTTCAATCGTTTAATTCAAATGTCATGCTTTTCTAAATTTACCTTAACTCCGATTTCCTATTTTCCCATGTTAATTTGCTTTGAATTAGGGGTTACATGTAACAGGAAAATGTGTTTAATGAAAGTAGGTTACTGTGCTATGTTGGATAATTTAAAACTTGAAAAACCTGTGAATTTCAAATGAACTATCACTAAGACTCTCTCATGCTAAATCCTGTAGTTTATGAAACCAGAACACGCTTATTGTAGTTTGTTTGTTTCTCACTTTGTCATATCAAGGCATATATAGCCAACTATATTGTATGGATTTTACTCACTGTTGAAATCTTTGATTACCTTCAGTTGTTTATTGTTACCTGCACACCATTTGAACTTTGGTGGATAGATGTCTGATTGGTAATCATATCACATCTCCTTATTTTAACATTAGTTATCATGTTTTCTTAATTTCTTTTTATTATTATTATTTTCTTTTACCTTGAATTGTCCCATAGTTTTTTTTGGAAAAAAAATAAAAGGATATTTGGTATAATGTTAGAAAAGAAAAGACTATTTCAGAAATTGATCAAAACAGGTGTTATCCGATTCTATCACTTGGTGCACCATGACTGAACATCTTTGAATGACCTCCATTACATAGGGGCCTCTGTGGTTGAGTGGTCTAAGAAGTCCAACTTCTCTTTCACTAGCCTGCCAACACTGAGGTAGCAAGTTCCATCCATGCATGTGGCTCAACTCCAACCTTTATTTACTAGGACCATCATTTTTCTAGCCAAAGGTCCAGGTTCTCTCTGGGACACTCTGGCTTCCTCCTTCAATAAAATTGACTGCCACGAAACAGCCAATATTGCTGAAAGTGGTGTTAAACACCAATCAATCAATCTCCATTTATGATCCCATTTTTCCCCCAGATTTTTTTTTTTTTTTTACAAAATCATTAAAGTTAACCATTTCAATTTAATGCACAGGATTGTGGAATCAACAAGTGGTTCATATATGTGGTCATCAGTGATATGTCTTACAAAAATATGATGGCATCCATTAAACTTTCGAAGGAATGACTTCAAATTTTACCATTTGGAATCCTTAATCCTTGCAATCAATAGTAGGCAGGAACTCTTTTAGAAGAGGATCGTGAGAGGAAACAACACAGCAAGTAAAAAGACATCTTTGAAGTCCTTCCTTAATGAAAACAAGCACATGTACCCAAAATTGCTGTTGTTAGATCCATAATTATTAACAAGAAGATGTGGTATGCGTGCCAATGAGACAACTCTCCATCCAAGTCACAATTTGTAAAAAGATAACAATTACAGGTAAAAGTAAGTCCTTCAACACAGAGCCTTGGCTCACACCGAACAGCAAGCTATAAAGAGCTCCAAAATGATGTGTAAAACAATTCAAACAGGAAAACCAACGGTCTAATCTATATAAAAAACGAGAAACACTTATGAACCGCATCAACAAACAAAACCACTGAACAACAGGCTCCTGACTTAGGACAGGTGCAAACAAATGCAGCGGGTTTAAACGTTTTAACAGGCGCCAACATGTCTTGACCTTATACAATCAAATCTCTGAACTTTAATTAAAAATACTGTAAATTTAAATTTCATGTTGCAGGACCATTACTGAGAAGATGGTCACTGAACCCCTCTCAACCCTAATGACCTCTGGACTAGTTACATAATGAACATGATCTTGAGGGTGTATTTAACAACACAATATAGTTTTCTTCATTGAAATTTCAATGAAACATTTTATTTTACTTGCGTTCTTTATATCACAGATAACATTATAGAAATGACAAAATAAATGTCAAAAAACAAATATAGCAAAAAAGCAGGAAAAAAAAACATTATCTAGCAAAAATGAGATTATCACAGAAATAAAATTGGAAATTGAGCATATCATACTACTCTTTGACACTTTATATAGTGATGTGCAACAGCTATAATTTCTAAATTACAACTATATTCAACAATTAACGAACCTCAAGTAAGAGGGTGTTTTCTTTCTGACCTCATAGCCTCAAACTAAAAGGGTGAAGCTAAAAATATTAGCAATTCTAGTTGGTACTAATTTCTATAATGTCTCTTATACATCACTCAATTCATGAATACTTTTACTGTTTTTATTTCATATTCTTATTGTTTTTATAAAATATTTTTGCTGTTTTTATAAAATATACTTTCTATTCTTATAAAATATTTTTTTTACATTTTTACTTACCTTTGAAATATGAATACAATATTTAAAAACATTCTTTGATGCAGAATATTTTTGAAAGACTGTTCAGTAAATGTTATTTGGAGATTTTGAAGACAATTACATATACATATCTATGGGTTGTGTTTAGAACATATATAACCATGAAGTACAACCTAAAAAAAAATATATTGGTTTTGAAAATGTGCTTTCCAAGTCTCCCCATTTTATTTTTTTCTGGAACAGCCCTTCTGAAGAAATTCATATGTTAGCAAAATCAATTATAATAAAATATATTTGGGGCACCATAGAACAAACTTATACAGCGACTAGAACTAAACAATTCAATATGAGATTCTCTATAAATTTAGTTTAGATATATAGTACACCGTTACAACATTAATACAAACCCTGATTTATCTTGACAACATCAAATAATTTACAAAATTTCCTTCTATGTTTCAAAGACATTGTTAACAACAAAGACTGCAGTCTTTAGTGAAGCAGATCTATAAAAAGAATTAAGGCATAAAAACTCCCTTAATTTTCGTTTCAGTAAAGCCATTTTTAAAAAGAATCAAATATTTAAAAACATTGTTGGAAAAAGACATTTTTAATTTAATTTAAGTCAAAAGTAAAGCTTTCGGTATACAAATAGTACCCAATTTCTGGCCAATCTTTGAAAAAGTCATGCGGTGAAAAAAAGGAAATAGACTCTGAAATCCAATTGGCATTTAAAAAGCACTAAACAGAGCAGAGAAAGAATATACTTGATTAACACAAAAAAATCATTTAATTTTGCACCCATACAAACTTCCGATCTATCTCTTGTCTTTTATGATCGACATGCAGTATCTTTTAATAACTTAACCCAAAAAACAAACTTCTGCATGCTTTGAAACCTGCTATAGTAATTGGTAAAAAAAAAATTCTCATTAGCTTTTACAAATTGTTTTTTTTCCTTTCATTCAAGATTTAAAATTCAAAGTGAAGACATATCTCATGAATTAGATATTTCACAATGTAATCAATACAAAGCATGTTTACAAAATCTCTTTAATTAACTTTGTAGATTCTTAAAAAATTCTTTTACAAACCCACTGACCTACATTACAAATAAACAGACAACAATATGAACCACGTCCAAGTGTTCAAGGAAATAATACTGATTCAAGTACAGAAAGGTGCATTTAAGTAAAAGTAAAAATGTCTTTGAAAAAAAAACACAATAAAAAAGCAATATACATAAACCTGACAAATCTGAGTACATTAAAAATGCATTATTTTTTTTTACTCTTCAAAGTAGTTTGTACTTAAATGCACAAGATAAGGCTAATAACTTAAGTTAAGAAGACAAATGTAAAGTATACAAAATATGATATTATATTGGAAAACATTATAATTACATTTTAATATGTTCTAATACTTAACTCCTTATATCAAAGTCACAGGATTCTAACAATTTTACCAGAATTTTACCATTATCGAAGGAATTCACGAACGATTTGCATTCTAGTTCATAGTACATAAATAAGTAAATCTTTTTTTTCCAATAAATTTCCCTTTTGTAAACAGAAAAAAGGATTTGTTGTACATGTATAACTAAGCATGTTTAACTTATAAATATGATTTACAGATAAATCCATGTAGAATCTTTTGGAAATACTGGTGCAACATGGTTTGAAAAGAAGACATTTTTTGCTTTTTCAGATTGATTTAATAGACCATGGGGTCAAATTAATTGCACTTCCAACAATAAGATGGCAGTACAATTACATCAAATGAGGTACAATAAAATCTAACTACCTGTATGCAGTCAAATCGTTTGCTTTTTCTGTGGGTTTCAGGAACTTTTTTTTCGAAATTCACAATTTCATTAAAAACGAAAATTCACCGAAATATTTTAGAAATTGTAAATCTTAATTCATACAACAGAATGCTATTCAAAATAATATGTATTACTGATACTTTTACATAAACATAATGTTGCATTATTTTGTTCTTATACTATTTTTCGTTATTGCACTATCTGTTCTAATATACAAATATATATTTATAAAATGTTTGTTATAATGGTGTAAATTTATCAAAATGAAAAATATGCAAAAAAGGAGCCATTATTACAAGTTCAACCTCAGTAATCCTGGCCTTTTCACTTTTGATATAAAATTGATGCAAATATAATTACCTAAAGTCCGTATTTTTGTGACAATAATCATTTAAGATAGAGCATTACAAATTTTTAATGGGACAGATTAAAATTCCTTCAACTATAGATGCTCTGTACATTAAACTTGTATAATTTTGTTGTTAAATTATTGGTTCAATATCACAGGGAAATTATGGTATGTCTTTGCTACCAATGTAATAATTGTCTGTTAATATGCAAAATGTGTATTCAAAATAGCAAGTTTATCATAAATGTTGCACTTTTATCTTTTATTGTCATATTAAAAAATATAAAAACATAATTTTGTTGTTAAAATCACAGGTAAAAATTATGGTATTTCATTGCAACCAATATAATAATTGTCTGTTAATATGCAAAATGTGTATTTAAAATAGCATTTTTTTAAAAATGTTGCACTATTAACTTTTATTGTCATATTCAAAAATATAAAAATATTTCTAGCTTTTGAATTGTGCATAAATGTTGTCCTAATTTTGTTTAATTCTAAACACCTTAAAAATAAATGTTTAACTGTACAACATGATGCAGATATTAATGTTATTTTTATTAAAATAATAATAATAATGGCAAACATAAAAGTATACATAAAAATCTTCAAATGCCTTCATGGATAAAATAGTTAAAATAAAATTATGAAAAGTATGTGATAATAATCTAAACAAACAAATTTAATACCAAAAATATTTTGTAAGATATTCCCAAAACCTTAAAAAGCATAAAAATCTCAAACTTTACCTCATAAACCAACCAATAACGATTAAACTCAACAAATGTCTTTAATATAAAGATTTACAATCAAATCATTTACAGATATAAACTGAGACATGTTTAAATGCTTAATTAAAGAAAATTAATTGTTTTTAAGTGACTTAAGACTATATTCCCAATAAAACTTTGACAATCTATATATATACATATGTATAAAAAATTTACCAGCGTATTGATTATTGATAATTTGTATAGCGATCAAGATTATCATTTCAGTTTGACTACCACATGTCAAGATATTAAGATTCATTTTACATCTTACTGATGAAGGATATTAGTTATCCAAAATATCTAACATTTGTTCATGATTTTATTATTTTTTGGTGATGTTGTACCCTTTTAGACTTGTTATACATATGTATATATATACATATTCCAAGCAAAAACGATGAAGCAATAATGAAGGTATTAAGACATGATAGATTTAATAGATACATTTGAGGGCACCTTTGAAACCCGTGCTGCATATATTACATTTTTGAAATTCCTACTCCTTATATACAATTCTCAAATAAGACATATATAGGTAAAATACCACAAGATATAAAATTCTAATTTGTTTATGCCTTCAAATGACTTCATTTTTTCTTCCTTAAACAGCGGTGAGCCTTATGAATCTAGCTGATAAAATAAATGTAGATTTTATATTTAAGTCTCTAAACAATAACTGGACCTTCATAATCTGATATTCGGTCTAATCGAGATACCTGTTGTATTGGAGGGAACTTTATGGCCCCACATAGTGGTGAACCTTGTGACATTTTAAACCTTGGTTTGGGTTCACTGTACAGGTTCCCATATTCATCACCATCAACATTCTGGGAAATTATTTCTGAAATGATGTTATGACATTGTACAACTTTAATAAGCTTCTAATAATTTCACAAAATAAATTTCTTCTGTTCATATTTGAAAGAAAATTTGCCAGAAAGAAAACTCTGAATATGGTATCGATACGTCTTAAAAAAAAATTGCCAGAAATAATCATTAACAAAACTCAATATTTCTAATCTTCTAACTTTAAATATGTTAAAATTAAAATATATAATTTTCTATTTTTCACAATCTGTTTAATATTTCATAATATATTATTACTGTTATTATCTAAGATGAGGTAATACAGTTAAATGCAGTTTAGTACTTAATTGTGCATATTAGGAAAGAAATCATACAATGGTTGTGAAAAGTGTGACACAACATTAAACAATACAAAAATATATTTATAACAAGTTAAAAAGAAAATTGAGTGACCTCCTCAGAGAAAATTCAAAATTTAAACAATAAAAGTTTTCAAAAGAGATCAGAACAAGAATGTTTTTTAGAGTAGGATTTCAACAAACCACAAAAATAGCAAAGTCCCTACTTATTAAGTACTAACACATTTGAAAAAAAAGACTGACTAGAAATTCATGTTTATTAATGTAAAAATTGTGGAGGACTGTACGGTGCCGGAGCAGGACTATAGTTTGGCATTGGCACTTGCATCGGAAACTGAAACTGTTGTGGACGGCTGTAGTTGGTTGGATTGCCTGAATTATAGTCCGTAATAGGCGTACATGCAACTCGAGACCCTGGTTTTCTCATTGGATTTGGGGTCATAGCTGGACTATTTGGACCAGAGACCCTGTTTGAAATGTTTATAGGAACACTATTATCACTATCTGATATAGGCGTGCTCGGTTGATTTGATCTGCTTGGCGTTCGAGAAGCAGGTCGATATGGTGGGGGAGTTGGGGCATGCACTGGTTTTGATGGCGGCATATCTCCTGTCCTATATGCATCTAGTATTCGCTTAATTGTGTCTTTATCTGCAAGAAAACAAAAACAAAGCAAAACTGTAAAATCCACACTAAAAGTTATGACTGTATGCAAATATAAAAGATGTACAAAATCATGCAATATTTCAAATGAACTTTGTTATTTCATTGAAAACTTGGAATAGGAGCAATTTTCAAATGTACTTTTTTTTATAACAATGAAAACTTGGAATAGGAGCAATTTTCAGATGAATTTTTTTTTAATTTTGAATAATTGAGTAGGAGAAAATTTCAAATAAACTCTTTTTTTTAACATTGAAAACTTAGAATAGGAGCAATTTTCAAATGAACTTTTTTGTTATAACTTCGAATATGAGCAATTTTCAAATGATCTTTTTCATTTTGAGAACGTAGATAGAAGCAATTTTATGCACCATGCAAATCTAAAAATTCAATTTTACACTACAAAAAATTTGATTCAGTATATTGAACCAAAGAAAAATAAAAATCCTTTAAGTTGGTAACACTGTTTTCACTTGATGGGATAACAAAAATATTTTCAGCTGATCCAAATAAGAGTTATCTCTCTTTCTCTTGTATCTTAAATGTTGGTCATGTTTATACATCTTTAAAATGACAACTATTAAACAGTCATGGTATCAAAAACTTCTCTTCTGGCCACCAAAATATTCAATTAGTTATAATTAAGCAAAATTTTGTTTCATCTTTAACTTAAACAATTATCCTACTTTACCATAAATGCCATGCCAGTGACAATTAAATAAGAGTTGTGAAAAAAAACCTATGCCATCCACTAATGGGTGACAATCGATTTGTATAAAAATGTGCAACTATGAAAACAGTGTTACAGTTTTTCAAGATATATCAAGGATAAAATCAAACTGTTTAATAGCTGTCTCAAATACACAAAGTCTGGTTAATCATTTTAATCCAAATTAAAGTGATGAATTAAAGGATGATGAAACACTGGCTAATGTTATGTAAAAGTTGAAAGACAACAAAACTGAATAAACTTTAGAAGACTTTTTGGAAAAATTCAAATGAGACAATACCATATAAATTAAGAACAATGACCAAAAACACTCTTTTATTGCCCTTCACCTTGAAATCACAGCAAAATATCCAGTAATTAACCAATACACAAATCCTGTATAAGGTACTCAGAAACACACCCAGTTAACCACATACTGTGTGAAATATTACACATGTACCATGTCCCATTGTACTGTAAATATACTGATATGAACAAAGTATGCTGTGAATTTCCTTGTGCAAAGTCCAGCAACATGAGAAAAAAAACGTTAAACATAGCAGTGCCTTCAAAGAAAATTGAGTACACTGCAACAGAAAATTATTCTCCACTGTTCTTTAATACATAAGGCAGGTAAGGTCAAGATTCAATATCTACATTTTATATATATATATGTATATAACATATTTTATATATACTTTTTTATATTAAAGATAACATTGAATCTGTTGAAACTAACTGATCTAAATGTTTTTTCCCCCATTATTTTGGTAAACATTGTAAAAGATGGCCTTAGAAATGAATACCAATTTTCAAAAGAAACTAGAGGCTCTAAAGAGCCTGTGTCGCTCACCTTGGTCTATGTGCATATTAAACAAAGGACACAGATGGATTCATGACAAAATTGTGTTTTAGTGATGGTGATGTGTTTTGGTGATGGTGATGTGTTTGTAGATCTTACTTTACTGAACATTCTTGCTCCTTACTATTATCTCTATCTATAATGAACTTGGCCCGGTAGATACAGTGGAAAATACTTTGTAAAAATTTACAAAAATTTACAAAATTTATGAAAATTGTAAAAAATTGACTATAAAGGGCAATAACTCCTTAAGGGGTCAATTGACAATTTTGGTCATGTTGCCTTATTTGTAGATCTAACTTTGCTGTACATTATTGCTGTTTACAGTTTATCTCTATCTATAATAATATTCAAGATAATAACCAAAAGCTGCAAAATTTTCTTAAAATTACCAATTCAGGGGCAGCAACCCAACAATGTGTTGCCTGATTGGTCTGAAAATTTCAAGGAAGATAGATCTTGACCTAATGAACAATTTTACCCCAAGTCAGATTTGCTCTAAATGCTTTGGTTTCAGAGATATGAGCCAAAAACTGCATTTTACCCTATGTACTATTTTTTAGCCATGTCGGCCATCTTGGTTCGCGGGCGGGGTCATCGGACACATTTTTTAAACAAGATACCCTAATGATGATTGTGGACAAGTTTGGTTAAATTGGTCTTAGTAGTTTCAGAGGAGAAGATTTTTGTAAAAAATTACAAAAATTTACGAAAAATGGTTAAAAATTGACTATAAAGAGCAATAACTCCTTACGCGGTCAACTGACAATTTTGGTCAAGTTGACTTATTTGTAGATCTTACTTTGCTGAACATTATTGCTGTTTACAATTTATCTCTATCTATAATAATATTCAAGATAATAACCAAAAACGGCAAAATTTCCTTAAAATTACCAATTCAGGGGCAGCAACCCAACAACAGGTTGTCCGATTCATCTGAAAATTTTAGGGCAGATAGATCTTGACCTAATAAACAATTTTACCCCATGTCAGATTTGCTCTAAATGCTTTGGTTTCAGAGATATGAGCCAAAAACTGCATTTTACCCTATGTACTATTTTTTAGCCATGTCAGCCATCTTGGTTCACGGGCGGGGTCATCGGACACATTTTTTAAACAAGATACCCTAATGATGATTGTGGACAAGTTTGGTTAAATTTGTCTTAGTAGTTTCAGAGGAGAAGATTTTTGTAAAAGATTACAAAAATTTACGAAAAATGGTTAAAAATTGACTATAAAGGGCAATAACTCCTTAAGGGGTCAACTGACCATTTTGGTCAAGTTGACTTATTTGTAGATCTTACTTTGCTGAACATTATTGCTGTTTAAAGTTTATCTCTATCTATAATAATATTCAAGATGATAACCAAAAACGGCAAAATTTCCTTAAAATTACCAATTCAGGGGCAGCAACCCAACAACAGGTTGTCCGATTCATCTGAAAATTTTAGGGCAGATAGATCTTGACCTAATAAACAATTTTACCCCATGTCAGATTTGCTCTAAATGCTTTGGTTTCAGAGATATAAGCCAAAATCTACATTTTACCCCTATGTTCTATTTTTAGCCATGGCGGCCATCTTAGTTGGTTGGCCAGGTCACCGGACACATTTTTTAAACTAGATACCCCAATGATGATTGTGGCCAAGTTTGGTCAAATTTGGCCCAGTAGTTTCAGAGGAGAAGATTTTTGTAAAAGTTTACGGACGACGGACGACGGACGCAGGACGACGGACGCAAAGTGATGAGAAAAGCTCACTTGACCTTTCAGGTCAGGTGAGCTAAAAATCAAGAACATGAGAACTGGTTTAAAAATAGTGAAATGAATATTCATTTTTCAGTTAATGTACTGCAATAAATATTTCCACATACATGTGTACATTGTATTACAGATCAGTTTGATAGATTGGAAGAAAACTTGGGATTCGAATAAATGTTTTCATCTAGTTTTTAAAATGTATTGAATTAGTTGATTAATTAAGACCTAAAATCCAAAATCTACTAGTATAGCATTTAGTATTCATCTAATTTTTATTTGTTCATGACCAATGTACAAATACATTAATGCATAAATACCAAACCAATGTTTAACTGACAACAAATTTCCTCAAACCCAAGCTCAACTAATCCTGTTCAAATGCATGTTAAGATGATAATTTGTGATTCAGGCAGAAAACAATGTGCAGACAAGGCAAAAATGTCAGTGTAGTCATTCAAATTCAAAATTTGCAACTACTTACCCAGCCAACCATCTTCAATTTAGCATAAATTTCAAAAAGCCAAAGAAACACCCAATTAAATGTGATAGTTACCTTCTGGTGCTGCTTTTTCATAATATTTTTTCAGAGTTTCGGCTCCAAGTTTACGACCGACATCTTTAATTTGTTGTACAACGGCACCAGAATTATCATTGTAGTGTTTGTCATATGTTGTTCTCTGTTTTATATGATTATATCTTAATGACGCTGTTGGTACTGAAAATAAAAGATACAAATTATACAAATGTAAATATGATGGTGAAAACTGCATATTTATCAAATATCAATCATTCAGACTTTCTGGATATTTATCAAATATCAATCATCCAGACTTTCTGGGTATTTAGCAAGAAACAATCAAACGGACCTTTTTCTGTGTGTTACATTGTAATGATAAATTCAATAAGTCTTCTTGTGTTCAATCATAACTAATAATGACAAACTGACCATGTTTGCTGTAGCTTAATAATTAATATATGTACATTGTCAGAAAATATAAAATTTATTTGTGCGAGCTTTAGAAATTTTTGACAGCGTATACTTACTAGTACCATTAACAGCCATACTTTTCTTTTTATTACTGCCATATCTTGAGATAGGAAGTTTTAATTGTTCTGGTTGTGTTGGGTTTTGATAAGAATATCTTGCTACACTGTCTAATGTGTAAGGAATGTCTGCTTTCCAATCAGGTGGCAGAGTATAGGCACTTTTTAATTGAAAACCTGCAAAAAGATATTTTGAAACTAGAATCTAATGTTTGCTGTAAAACTGTTGATATAAAACAAGCTTTTGCTGATTCTAATATTTTCAGTTCGTTTTTGACACATTTTTCTGTATATCTTTCATATATATAACTTATAAGCATGATAAGGGCCATTAAGGGGAACTAATTCAAACTTTTATTCCTATGTCAATTGATTGTTTTTTTTCATATAATGTTGAGCTCATTCAAAATCTAAATATTTCAGCATATTGAAATGAACCATATAAATAACATGAAGATATGCGATCTAATATTTATTCTTACAAAAACTAAATAAGATTTACAGTGTCCTCCCCAATCGTCAGAATATATATGAAATATTTGCCACTGTTATTAAGCAAGCAATAATCAACCATGTTCTCCCCAGAAATTTAACATACTTTCTCAGAAAAAGAGGATTTTTTACAAAGCAATTTGTTATCTAAATTTATGGCAGAAGGGCAAACAAAAGTCATTTTAAAACCCTTAGAGAAAATCCATATTTAGAAGGATCCAAGTGAGGAAAGAAGGCATCATGATACTCTGATGGTAAAATGTCTTAGGAAGAACAATTAAAAGCAACAAATAAAAGTTTTTAATTTTGTCAAGTAAAACTGCATTTCCAAAGAAGCAGTTCCAATGACAAGCTCTGGAAAGTGTCTCAAAGTATGGGATACAAACTGATTGTCCATTACTTACCCTGAGGAATTCCTAGATAATCTGTCTGGTAAGTGGACTGACATAACCGTTTGTGTACTTGGTTAATTTTATCATCTGTCAACTCCTCTGACCAGGGACTAGGTTTGGGTTCTGCCATAGTCTTTGTTGGAAATCGCCATACCATAAATGCCTTAAATAAGAATCAGAATATATATGAATGTGTTTCTAAACAAAATAGAATTCAAAATAGCTGAAATTGGGGGATAGGATAACTTCTGACTTCCTGAAAGTTATCCTGCATAAAAATTATATACTAGGTATATATATGTACCTGTAGCATTAGCATTACTGAGATACAAGCAATTTAAAATTCATGAAACAAATCTATAAATGTATAGAATGTACAGAAAAAACAGAAAAATGCACTTTTTTACACTTAAAATTGTGATTCTTCACAAACCCATCCACAGAACTTTGCTTAAAAACGATATCTTATTACTATGAACATTTTTTCCACTAAAAGTGACAAAAATTTTTGCAGATTTCTTAATGTTTCAATTCTTTTCACTAAATAAATGAAACAATCTTCTAACAATAAATGTAAGCTGAGTTTTTAAACTTCAAATTAATTTAGAAGGCAACAACTTTTGCTACAGAACCAGATTCAAGAAGTCAGATCTTTGGATACTGTAAATTCAGAAATTTTGCACACATTTATTATTGCGATGGTTCAACTGTAAATGTTCAAAAACATGAGTTTAATAATTTAATTAGTATAGGAAATACTGCATAAAAATAAAGCTTTCAATATTTAATATGTGACTTTAAAACATGTCCTAATTTTCACAATTGTAATAATTAACATTGCAAAAAAAATTGAACTCTGCAGTATTTTAAAAAATATAATAAATAATATTTTGTATAAAGAAAACCAATGATTACAGGAACATTATATATTATAATAAATACTGTTTTGAAAATTTGATGTGATTAAAAGAAAGAAAGACCTTTGTGGATGTTTAAAGTACATTTTAGCTATTTTCTGGAATAAATTATACCTGTAATGGATGTGGATTGTTATTTCTTTGTCCAGATGCTGATCCACTTCTGATTGGTGATGCTGGCCTGTTTGGCTTATCTTTATATTCTTCTGCATAAGTAGTATCTCCTATTGGCCCATTTCTAAAACCATGCGATGTCATTGGTCTAAAAATTAACAAAAAGATCAAATCAAATTCATAATCGTGATTTCAAAGAGATAATCTAGTAACTGGTACATATCTAGACATGCCTACCTTCACAAACAATCTTACAAATTAAATTGGTAGTTAGCCTTAAACAATTCAATATTCTAAGGATCAATCTTAGTTGGAATATTTTTTGTGGAACACACAGGCCAGGACATTATAAAATAGTTACTGTCAGATGATACCAGGAGTTAAAATGTCATTTAGTAAGTTCAGTATTAATAAACTAAGACATGTTAACCAAATCTTGAACACTATAATCAAGCCGACTTCAAGCCACTATTACAAATATAGCTAAATCATATGTTTAGAATTTTTTTAAGAATGTATGGTGACAAAGAAAAAATCAGTTCAAAAGCAAAAATTAATTTCAAAATATTCAAGTTATCGATAAAAAATAATACACTCAAGAGTTGTAACAAAAAATGTACTTTATGATTTATTCATGAATTTCCTGTTTATCATTATCAAATCATTTCATGAGCCCTTTGAAAAGTTAAATAAAACTGTTCTATTGTGAGACTTAATAATAGATTCAGTGTACAAATGTATTTCAAACATACTTTGAACCAATTTGGTTGTGCTAAATGATGCATTTATCAATTATGGTAATAATATACTATCAATATTATAATTCAGTAATATTATAATTCAGTAAAATGTTGGTGCATATATATAAAATTCGTAAGGGTTCCACGGAACCCAGTGTCTCGCCTACTTTTTCTGTTAATCGCAGGCTCAACAAAAATGAGGAAGTAAATCAATAAAAATATTCCTCTTGATACTATCTTTTGATTGTAAGAAGCTTCTGTCCAAGTTTGGTAAAAATCCAGGATAGTTTATGAATCTAATAAATGTTTAAAAACTTTAACTGCAGACTGAATGTAATGTTAACTGGAAGAAAACAAAATTTCCTTCTAGATACTAGCATTTGATCATAAACAAGCTTCTGTCCAAGTTTGGTACAAATCCAAAATAGTAGAAGAAAGTTATTGAAATTTTAAAAACTTTAACCACAGAGTGAATGTGTTGTTTCCTGGCAGAAAATCTAAGTCCATTAAAAGTAAAATACGGAAAAAATGGATTTATTTTTTTACAAAATTTCCTTCTAGATACTAGCTTTTGATCATAAACAAGCTTCTGTCCAAGTTTGGTACAAATCCAAAATAGTAAAAGAAAGTTATTAAAATTTTAAAAACTTTAACCACAGAGTGAATGTGTTGTTTCCTGGCAGAAAATCTAAGTCCATTTAAAAGTAAAATAAGGAAAAAATGGATTTTTTTTTTTACAAAATTGACTTCTGGATACTATCTTATGATCATAAACAAGCTTCTGTCCAAGTTTGGTAGAAATCCAGGATAGTTTAAGAAAGTTATTGAAATTTTAAAAACTTTATCCACAGAGTGAATGTAATATTTCCCGGCAGAAAAACTAAGTCCATTTATAAGTAAAATACGGAAAAAACGGATTTTTTTTTTTTACAAAATTTACTTCTGGATATTATCTTATGATCATAAACAAGCTTCTGTCCAAGTTTGGTAGAAATCCAGGACAGTTTAAGAAAGTTATTAAAATTTCAAAAACTTTAACCACAGAATGAATATTTGTGGACGCTGCCGCCGACGAGGCAGACGGAATGTAGGATCGCTATGTCTCGCTTTTTCGACTAAAGTCGAAGGCTCGACAATAAAGCTGAAACAGAATACAAATCAGTAATTTAGATTTTCAAAGAACTTAGTAGTTTTTGATCCTAAAACAAATTGATTTTTATATGAGAAATGTTTTATTTCCCCTCATGTTCCGTAAATCAAATCTAATTAACAATTTGTTATAAACTATTGGTACTTAAAATTTCATGTTTCTTTTCTGTATTTGACACTATGGAGGAAATGTTATTTAAAGCTACAATAAAATGGGGCAGAATCAGTTTGCGCCAATTACAGTTTTGAAAAGGTATCAATTGCGCCACTCTCTATTTTTCTGATGGTATTAATTGCGCCAATAAATGGAATTAAATTGCGACACATTTACCTGTATATTTTTTACCTATGTAACATGTACTATAATTAACCTATCCACTTAAGATTAAACCTAACACTCATCAAAATTAAGAAAACTCACCAATAAATAAATTGTTCAGTAATAGAATGGTTTTTTACATGTAAAGATGTCTGATATATCGTTCAAGAAAATAGATTCTGATAGAGGAAAACCTGTCATCGTTGTCGAAGAACACAAATTCCATCAGGCATTTTTTAAGACAAATGGAGAAATTAGATGTATGGGCTGAAATTCCTTCAAATTCTAGAAGAACAAATAACAGACCTGAATCATTCCACACTCATTACAATGAACAATTTTATGATTCACATCCGTCAATGTTTGTGTTTTTAGATACTCTGACAAAGGTTCAGGCCACGACATACATTAAAATCCCAAGTGCTGGCTCAGAAGCTGCGAGAAGTCGACACGACTTGGAAAAAAAAAACTTTGCTCAAGAAAAGTACCAAAAATTAGTGAGAGGAAAAGTGAGCAAAAAGGAATATGTATAAATAAGAAGATGTGGTATCGATGAGTGCCAATGAGACAACGAACTCTCCATCCAAGTCAAAATGTATAAAAGGTTAACACTTATAGGTCAAAGTACGGCCTTCAACATGGAGCCTTGGCTCACACCGAACAGCAAGCTATAAAGGGCCCCAAAATGATTAGTGTAAAACAATTCAAACAGGAAAGCCAACGGTCTAATCTATATAAAAAATGAAACACGAGAAACACTTATGAACCACACCAACAAACAACAACCACTGAACAACGGCTCCTGACTTAGAACAGGTGTCTATTCTCAGTTACAAATACCAGCCTTTGGTTTTAATGTTGAACAGAGACATATTATAGTTTTAACTGTATACACATGAGTGAACGTTTTAATTCAGCATATTTCTTTGTATTAAAATGACTTGTAACTCCGCCAGACGGTAAGACCGGATAAAGGAGGAGGGAAGTCAATCATTTAGTTGATATATATAAGTAAAAATAAATTAATTCATAAAATTGGCGAAATAAGATGATTTTTTTATTGGCGCAAATGATGCCTTTAGTTTTCAAAATGAAGTGGCGCAAATAAGTTGTGGCGCAAAAAGATATTGCCCATAAAATGGATATACTGTGTAATTATTTATTTTCGCTGGTACCAATTTTCGTGTATTAAGGAAATATTTCATAAGATATTTATTTTGTGGTTTTGCCAAAGTCTGCATACAATCTTAGAGAAAATGTGTAGTTCATTGAACAATGAACATATTAATAAATATGCGGTTCAGGTACCAGTACATGTATGCCAAAAGAATCCAGGAAATGGGTATCCCACGAATAATAATGGATCCACAGGTTCATGCTATATACATGTAACCAAACAGCAAAATATTCTATAAGCAGAAAATGTCAAAGTTTATCAGATTTTTACCTTGTTGCTCCTGTGAATGGTTGCTCCTTCATGGGATAATCCCTAGTGTATGACGTGACATATGGATTTGAATGGTATTGGCCTGAAAAATTCAGAGTGAAACATTTACATGCATATCTATTCCAACATACATCAATTTGTATCTGTGACACATGATGATACACATAAAAATAATGTCACCTAAATTAACTATAAAATGGAATGATAAGAGTTTTTGCACTCATTTATTCTATAGGCCACCATAGCTCAATAATTACATAATTTGGAATACTATCTATTTCTGGTCGTGACATTATACAAACATCCTTAAAGGTAGTTAGGGGTTATTTTTATGTAATGTGTTTGGCCCTTTTTCACATTTTTTTCATGATTAAAGGTCAAAGGACCTCCCCCTGGATCCCACACTGTCAGACATGAATATTAGAATCTAAGCAACCAATTTAACAGGTTAAATTTCTACTTGTGGTCTTTATTTCCTGCTTTTGAAGAATTATCTCAGTGTCTGTGAAAGTTTAAACATGCAATTTATCAAACCTGGGTACACTTTAATTTCACTGTATAAATTTAAACAAATGTTTATATACTACATTGTTTTGAAAAACCTAAGTAAAAGGAAGAACCATCTTTATATACTATGTGTTTATTGATATTAGAAATTGCTAACTATGACATGCCTGGTAACATCAACTTTTTAAAATTTAAATGAACACTAACATTTGATTAATAATTTACATCTGAAATGAATGTTATCATATACACCTGTCACAGAAAACTTAAGTAAACCCCCCTATAGTAGCCCATATATCATTTTAATTGATTCATGTTTAGTTACCTTTTATCCAATATTGACTCAGTCAACAATAGGAATAGTTTCATTAAACTTAGTTGTTAAAATTTACTTGTAATTCAACAATCTATCAAGGAAACACACTGGTACAATGAAAATTCAACTAATGTTTCACTATATCACAATTAATTTTTTACATTGAAAGCTAATATTCTGTCCAAAAATCTTCATTTGACAACAAAAATTTAAAAAAGTAATTTGATCATGATTTAATTTGGTTAGCCAAGTTTATTCGGGAGAATAATTGCCAATGCATTGAAGGTATATACTGTTTATTGACAATTCAATGCAACTGAGATTAAAAAGTTTTTTCTCAATACAGAATTATAAATACCTATAGCTTGTCAGAATTGCTTTCATTATTGTGTTAAATGGGGTATTAATAATGGTTAAGACCTTACAATTTTATATTTAAATACCAAACATGTCTATCCATTCATTAATACATGGCTACTTTACTACACAGTACGAACCAACCTATTGATACAAATTTTCAATAATTACTAAATGAAACAAAAATTTTACGGTCTTATAAAAACTGAACAGTGTAAAATGTTCACTATAACCTTGGCTCTAGAATAATTATTTCTTGACTTCCTTGGATCTTTTCTTTTTATTTCTGACATACATGTACATGTAGTTGTTTAGATTATATACATGTCATGTCACTTGTGTTAAATATACATTTGTATATATATTCAAAAGATGTTAACCGTTTTTCTGCTATCACATATTTATAATTAGCCAATAAACAAGCTGCATTTTGCTAAATATTTCATGTCAGTCACTCAGTGAATAAATTACAAAGGGTCCTTTAATTTGTATTACAGAATTTCATAATTTTCATCATTTATTGTTTCAAGCAAACTGACAAAAATTGGAATGGAAGCAGAGGAATATTGTAAATACATGTACATGTATTAATTTACCAATAAATAAAAAAGGTCCATTTATCAACATAGATTAACAGAAAAATAATCAAGAATACTCCAGTCATCCAGTTTAAAATGATTAGCGAAAAGTCAATTTCCAGTTGTGGCTATTCACTGAAGATTTGACCAAGCAATGAAACCATTTTAGTTTTTAACTACAATAGTGAAAAAAGAGGTGGGAAACAAATGTGAGTGCTGTTTTTACTTATCATATTTGTTTAGTCTTTCTTTGGCAAGAGATTTTATTGTGGGACTAAGTGTTATTAACTATGGACCCTTAAAACTACCCCCTAAGTCATATTTTAAAAGTTAAAAGTCAATACTTCTGGTGTTTTTACAGTTTTTTAGATTCAATACTTTTAATCAGATAAAACCTCATAAAAGTCAATAAACAGCTGCGCCATGAGCTCATGATACGCCGGTCATCTTGTGTGTGAATTTTTATGCAATAAGCAAAAATAGTTTCTGACATACGGCATGACATGCGAAAACCCCCCTTTTTTAAAAAAAAAAACTCAATATCTCTAAAATAAAATTTTGAATCAAAGCCAAAAAGTATACAGATCTTTAGATTAATATAACTAAGAAGTGTGTAAAATTTTAAGCAATAATCATAAATCGTTTTTGAGATACGGTGCAACATGTGAAAACCCCCCTTTTAAAAAAAAAAAAAATCAATATCTCAAAAATAAAATTTTGAATCAAAACCAAAAAGTATACAGATCTTTAGATTAATATAACTAAGAAGTGCGTAAAATTTTAAGCAATAATCATAAATCATTTTTGAGATACGATGTGACATGTGAAAAAACCCTCCCCTTTTTTTTTACAAAATACTCAATAACTCAAATATAAAATTTTGAATCATCACCAAAAAGTATACAGATCTTAAGGTTAATATAACTAAGAAGTGTGTAAAGTTTTAAGCAATAATCATTAACTGTTTTTGAGATATGGCGCGACATGTGGAAAACCCCTCTCCCTTTTTTAACAAAATACTCAATATCTCTAAAATAAAATTTTGAATCATCACCAAAAAGTATACAGATCTTAAGATTAATATAACTAAGAAGTGTGTAAAGTTTTACGCAATAATCATAAATTGTTTTTGAGATACGGCGCGACATGTGAAAAAAAACACACACCTGTTTTAGTTACTAAGTCCTGTAACTCAAAAAGTTTTAATCTTATTTTCACCAAAAAGTATACAGATCGTTTGACCATCATAAGAAACAACTATATTAAGTTTCATGAAATTTGGATAAGTCATTCTCAAGTTACGGTGCGACATGTTTACGCTGGACAGACAGACGGACGGACACTTGTATATCATAATACGTCCCGTCAAAAATTAAGGGGCGTATAAAAATGTGAATTAAATGTGGAAGGTGAATTTCACTTTAATCATGTCCTTATTATTTGGATAATATTTGAAAAAATATGTATAAAGATATTAGTAGCATCATTCTTGGTTTTGAAGAATAAGTCTAGGCCTAACATGTGAAGAGGTTGATTAATGTAGTGATTAATTGTCAGTCTGAGTCTTATAAGTGAAATCAGGGTTTGCAAAGTACAAGAAAGAGGAGATGTATTTTGTTTTCAAATTGGATTATGTTTTACTTTTTTTATTATTTATGGCATTAAAAGTTACATAAATGAAAAGCCTCCATCCATGACCCAGGCCCTCCTAAACATATAAATTGTATTTTTTGTGTAAAAAATATATATATATATATGGATTGAAGACCCATTGGTGGCCTTGGGCTGTTTTCTGCTCTTTGGTCCGGTTGTTGTTTCTTTGACACATTCCCTGTTTCCATTCTCAATTTTATTTTACACTATTAAAATTTATGATTCTGATTCCAGGTGTAGTTTATTGAAACGAGTGGACAGCACTGCATTTTAGCTAGAATTATTATTGAACTTTTACAAGTATTGTTATATATGCTTCATGTTAACGTTGTTAAGGCTGAACGGGTCACTGTCAGATTCAGAATGTACCCTGGGTATGTTTTATGGTAGGAAAAGTACCCATACTAAAATAAAAGCTGTTCAGGGAACCCAGGTTAACCCCTGCCTTAAAGGTGTACCCAGGTTGCTGCTTTCAAAATTTGGATGGGCCCCAAACTAGGCAAAATTTGGAGTGGAACAGGTAAAAAGTTTTCATTAACCATAAATGTAACCCTATAACTAAGTGGGGCACCCTGCCCCTCCCCCTCCCTTTATCCTCCTCCGCTTTTCTTCCTTACAAGTTACCCAGCTAGGCACTATTACACCACAGGGGTTTCTTACAATTTGCCGGGTTTACTATCCATACAAACCCAGAAAAAATGATTTTTTTCTGGGTTCATATGGATAGTAATGAATTTTTCGGGGTTCGTATGGATAGTAAACTCGGCAAATTGTAACAAACCCCTGTGAATACACTAAAACAAATAAATCTGGGTACCATTTGATTAAGTTAAAGTACGTACATAGGGTGCTTTTTAATGGTACCCAGGACGACAGTAACCTGCTTTTAGTTTTATTTTACATACTTGAAACCATAGGTTTTTGTTGAGTTTTTTTTCAAGATTGTGTTTTGATTGTATTGATTATATAAATAAATGTGTATTCCCCACCCCTCATTCTACAGTGTACATGTACATTTATAACCCATGACCTCTGAACTTACCTCCAACTGTTGGCATGGCAGTATGGGGTCGTGGATATGGTTCTTGCTGACGTTCCCCTCCAAGTCTTAAGGACGACAATAACTCCAAAGCTTTGGCTCTATCTCCTGAAGAATCACTTTTATTGTAAAAAGCTTCTAAATCTTGAGCTAACCCTTGAGTGACAACTTCGTCCCCCACCTGCAAAAAGTACACACTTCAGTCATTCAAGTTAAAAAAAATCGGTTGTAAGAGGTAGTTATAGTGATGAAAAGATGAAAACATACCCTTGTATCTGTGTTGTACCCCGTATACATCTTGTCTGGGGTGTACATCCTACCGTAGTCTACAGCAGTCGCCATTTTCGACACAGGACTCCCAAAATCATTTACAAAAGAATTGATTGGCTAAAATGAACACGTGCCCGATAAAAAGGTTGTTGTTGTTACGGAGTTAGCGTTGCGTTGCTAAGATCTAACATGTGCACAACAGCCTATTTAAATTTCATGTTTTTAATTTCCTTTTACTTGTCGAATTATAAAACAGCTTAATTGAATACAAAAACAATCATTTTAATCATGATGAAAAGAAAACACAAAGTTCCAACTGATAGCACAGTTGATTTCAAAATTAATCCCACAGGTTTTTATTTTCGATCAATAATTAAAGGCACTTCGTTCTAGTAAAATTAAATAGTTAATAACCTATCACAGATGTTTATAGATGGATTAACAGCGACTTACCAATTTGCCTAGTCAAAATTCAATGATTCCCTAGTAAAGCATAAATCCACATTACACGTAGGACACCTTCCCCCCCATTTTTTCAATTATTTTTTTTCAAATCAGACCGTTTTTATTGAGCAGGCCAGTACAATAATTGAATGCAAAGGAGAGACAAGAAATCATCAAACAGAACCGAATCTCCACTGACGATTACTATGTTAGAACACCGTCGGGCTAGGCACTAGAAGTGACACTAGTCTCTCAGCCCGGGAAAATTCATATCTAGATACCTTAATACATAACACATATAGGTGATTTTTTTCATAGGCAAGTGCCTGTGGCTTTAGTTCCAAATATCTATCTATATAACCATTTTTTCCAAGATACCAGTTGACCTAATTCTCAAACTGACAAACTAGTTCCGGCGTAAAAAGTAAGCATGGTCTTGTAATATTAACCGTGATATTAGAAGTCTAAAGGTAATTCATATCTTTATACTAGAATATATGACACAAGAAACCTTTCTTTTGTCTATTGCCTTTTCCTTGTTGAAGGTGTAATTATGGTTGCTTTTGATAGGGTTTTCATTTCACAATTGATTGCATTTTGAAATCTAAGCGTCTTGTCTTTTTTGTATCTGTTAATGTGTCTACCTCACGGTCAGCTACCTCGTAAAAAGTAAAATAGCAAAAATACCGAACTCTAAGAATATTCAAAACGGAAAGTCCTTTATCAAATGGAAAAACCAAAAGCTCACACACATAAAACGAATGGAAAACAACCGTCATATTCCTAACTTGGTACAGGCATTTCCTCATGGAGAAATAGGCGATTAAACTTGCTTTTTTTTAGCTAGTTAAACCTCTCACTTGTGTGATGGTCGTTGTTGTTTATATATATATATATATATATAATTTTCATTTTCTTTTATTTGAAGATCGTACGGCGGGCGGCGGAACGGAAACATATTTACCAGTATATCCAATCTTTAAACGAGTGAATAAATAAATAAAGAATTTCAACGCCGAATAAGGATGGTTACATTTTTTTTTTAAATAGAAGAATGGTTTTCGACTTGTAAAATTGTCATCAATTACACGATAACTGATGTAGAATACACTCATATAAATTCAAAAATAGCAAAAAAAGGAGAAAACATATGAGCACAAACTGGTAACATTATCATCAGTATGGTGAAAATTGTAAAAAAAAAAAGAGAAGATAAAGACCTATATTGTTATAACAATTATTTCATAGCATTTTTAACAAGTCTTTTGCGACTAAAATTACTACAAAACACATATGTTGCACTGATTTCAGTTGAAACAATGGTTCATTATAGAACATCGCATTAAATGTAGAAACACAAACTTCCTTTCGTTAGTAATAATAACTTTTTATGTCTAATTTCTGAAACCCACCTTATATTAGAAAATTTAATTTACTCCTTTCGAAAACTAGAAACATAACTTCGTTAGTACTGTAATAATCACTCTTTTTCTCTAAATACTATAAAACCCTCATATTTTGGAAAATAATTTTACGCCTTTCGAAAAGTTTCAACAATTCATTGCATATACATGTACTAGATTTCAGATAAAGTGAAATAAACGTTGTCCTACTCAATGAAGGGTGCATAAATCTTGACAACTTACATGTAATTTCTTCCAACTCAATTGAAATGAACATCCAAACTGAAATACAGTATTATTTCAATAGACTTAAAGTAGTTATTTCACATATTACAGGTTTACCCCTTACCATAAAAAGTAATAAATTTACATCGCAAATGACATTTTAATGTTTTAAATATTACATCTCCAAAAAATACTTGAGTACTTACCGAGTAATGTACGGAATGTTGTTAGCAATATAGATAACAGAATAATATACCTAAATATCTATCAATTATTTAACAAGAAACATCTGAATTAGTTTTCTCTATATTATTAATTGGTTGCTTAGAGAAGTCACTCCGGTATTCATAAAACCAATACACTGAACAAAGAAATTTTCTGGTCTGAGATTACGGTAATTGACTGATAAAAGTTACATTTACAGTAACTTGTTTTCATTGATTTCCTCTTTTTGCTCTTTATTAGGCACTGAGATTAATCTATTAATTAAATCTAATTAAGACGTCAGGTCTTATGGTAATCAATCGAACGGACGGAAGAAATTTAATCTAGCGTGTTTTGTAGGACCATTCACATCGCAACTTTAAGTACCTTATACGACATTTGAATTGAAGTGAAACAACTACTACACCTGCAGATGTGTAGAGAAAGAAGTGAATCATAATGTAACATACAAGCTAAATTTGCCCGAAATGCAAGTCCACTATAGTTTATTGGTAAACGAATTGATCCTATTTGATTTATTTCCGGGGTTTTCAATGAGGGTTAAGTTGCCTTTCCCACACTGCACTGTTTAAAATACTAGTTGGTCGAAAACTTCGGTGCAAATCTATATTAGAATGTTATATTATTTATTATTTATAGTGGTAAAATAGGAAAATTTGTTATTTTCTATTGAACTGAGAAATTTTGAAGATCATAGTGGGACAAATATTGATACAATTTTGGCTGTTTTGCGGACCCAGGAAGTTTGAAAAAGGGGGGGGGGGGTAGTTGTCGGCAAGCCAACGTTTGGAGTCACGCTGAAACTTGTAAAAAGCCTACGCATTTATCATAAATAAAGCTCCAGAAGGGGGCTGCTCCCTAGATCCGCCTCTGATTGGGTAAATACACCAACAGCTGTCTATATTAGGTCAAAGAAAAATATAGCACAATTCATTAAATTGAATTAAGGCCTATATAATTTAAATAACTTGATTTAAAAACTTGAAACGGCCGTAAGACATTAAGACCCCAACACCCTATGGTCTAATATGGCACCTTTCTTTTGGATTGGCACTTCATATATGATTTTCAAAACGGCAACTTAACACATTTTCGAGTGCTCATTGTTCCACCTAACTTGGTACCACAATGTAACAAACTATAAAAAATAATTTAAAAATTAAAACAGTTGGAAGCACCTTACCCATCAGATCGCTACAGAAAATCGACAATACCATCTAAACATATAAAACGATAAACATAAAGAAAGAGTCAAAGATAATTCGCAGTTACTGACAAGTTAGTTAATAATTCCGAGATCAGTTGATAAAAAGATCAGTTTCCTAGACTAGGATTTTTTTAAAGAACATAGCCTATAGTTTAATTGAAAAATACTTACGTGTACGTAACTTGTAAGTGTAAGGAAAAGCTACGGCATGCTAAAAAAAAGTTCTACTCCTCCCGACGTTACCAAGTCTGAATCCAAGTCGTTATGACGCATTATGACGTTAAATCTACAATGTTTATAAAACGTTGCTGTTGCGCCGTGTAGCCGTTAACAGTAATAATAATAATAATAATAATAATAATAATAATAATAATAATAATAATAATAATAATAAATTCTTTATTTAAAGAAGGTAACTCAATTAGAAGTAGTCTAATTTTCATTGAGGCCCTCAAACAAAATACATGTATACAGTTAACATTCATACATTCATACATTAAAATACAATATATATTACTAGTATATACACAATTCAATCATTCAAACATACAAATGGCAATAATTGGTAAAGTTTTGATTAAATTAACGTGAAATTAAGTATACTATATAGTATACTCACTGTGGTTTTCCGGTAAAATATTCACGACAAAAAGGCCCCATTTTGCACTCTAGGTGTATATAAAATTGAGTTTTTTAATAACTTGTATAAAACAAGGAGATGGGGGGTATGACTGCCAATGAGAAAATTATACATAAAGACCGGAAGAAAAGCATGTAAGATAATCACAGGTCACTAATTTTTATAAAATTCAGATCTATCTGAACTCGCGTTATCGTATATATATATATATATATATATGAGGATAACGAAATCAGATATGTATATTTTAATTCGATTGACAGGTCACCATACGGCCTTGCATAATAAAGTAAAAACGTACCATGCAGTAAATGATAAAAGCCTTTAGGCCCCCGCGGTATGACCAAATGTGCAACAATTCAAAAGAGAAAACTAACTGCCTGATTAATATACAAGTTGCTTTCTTTAAAAAAAGAAATGCAATCGTGAACCTTAATGCCTGTTTGGCATGAACGATCAGATAATTGATACATAAAGAAGCATGATTTTACCTCATTATTTTAATATAAAATGTAGAAAATCTGACATGACGTATTTGTTAATTCCGAACTAAGACCGTTTTGCAAAATCATGCAGTTACACTGGTTTATATGGTTTGGTCATTGGCTATCATATTCGAGAAAAGCTTGATCTCAATTTATTTATACCCCAGACAACAAACTAAAAAAACAGACTTTTAGAGTAGAAATAATTTGAAACCTCAACATTGTTCTTAAATCAGTTTGCTCAAACATTTCTCACTTTTTCATTTCATAACTTGTCCTTTTTTAATTTAGCCAAAATATAATGAAGTCGTTGATTTGCTCTTTTATCCGATTCTGTGACAGACAGAGGGAAGCAGGAATAACAGTGCCAATTCAGTATAGCTCATGCCCAGTACGCAATATAAAAATCCTGTGTTTGCAATCGCTTGTTCGTTTTATACGGATATTGATTTTAAGAAAAAAAATTGTTTATTAAGTTGTCGCCTAAAACGCTCTAGACCTCTGTCAACTGGACCCTCTAAATTCGATTATGACTACAGATTGGTTCGACACCTTGAAAACAAACTGACGGAATTCCCAGAAACTTGCACTGATTCTTCTTTAGGTGGGACATGGAGTTGTGCACCAGCTACTTCAACTTTTAATCTGATTTCATTTTGAGGGGGAGGTGTGTTGTTTCACATACCGAAAACTTGGGAAAAGAATTGACTTTGCCATTTATAACTATGTTTTGGAGAGGGAAGTCGACACACGTGCCCTTTGGAAAACTCACACATTTTCCTAAAAAAAATTAACATACGCATCTCTAATTTTATAAAAGAGTCATGAATAGATAATACTCATCTTCCTGTTATTATAAGTCTTTGGACAATTGCTAATCTATCCTCGCAAACCACATACCGGTAGTAATTAATAATAGTGTTCAATGCCAAACATCGAGGAATATATCAAACCTCAATTTGTTTTATTTCATTAACCCCAAGTTTTAAATAAATAGAGAGTTATCGCACGCTCAACTCCAAAGAAAATCGACAATGGTGAAACATATATAACATAAGAACAAACTGTAAAAATCCATACAAGTATAGACAAGATATACGACCAGAGGAGGGACGACACTAAAGGTGTGATTTACGACCATTAGTGTTAATTGATAACCACAAGGACGTATAACTAACAATACGTCCTTGATAACAGAGACACAATTGCTGCTTAGTCTTTAGTTTCTAAGTAAGGTTAAGTTACTGCTGCACTTTCGTCTTTTTAAATTTTTACCATGATGTTGTCTGTTTTTATTTGACTTATGTTGTAAAAATTAGTTTAGACTTTCCCGCGTGAAACGGAAATACCATAATAAAGAATAGGATATTCAGTAAGATATTTCACAATCATTTACGGCCAATCATCATTAAAATTTCCATTAATTGGAATTTTGACAAATCTTTACTGGGTTTGGTCACAACTGTCAGTCATAAAAATACAGGAACACGCACGGTCTGCTATTAAAAGGGCGAGATTGGTGCCCTTTTGTATACTTGCTAATAAAATTTATTGCCGAAACGTAGATAGACTTTGTCCTGGAGAAAATTTACAGCTTTATGTCATCGTGTCAACGTATATTTGTTCCTCCTAACAGAAGTTCCACTGGAAACTTTGTTATAAACAATGTCATAATATCTGTTCCTGTTGGAACAAATATTCTATACCATTTATTCCGTTAGGAACATTTACTGTAATATTTATTCCAGTGGAAATAATATTCCAGAATATTGTTTCCATTTGGAACTCATATTATGAAGGAACTTCTATTCCGTGACAATCGAAGTTCAGTAGTATCTATACATGTATAGCATTACAGATTTTTCGAAAATGACCATTCCGTTAAATCAAAAACTTCCGTTTGATAAGATTGTGTCAAAGAGGCCTTTAGCTGAGATGTTGTATGCTGATGAGCAAATCAATAATCACTGATGTGAGAGTGGGTTCACCTACACGGTTAATTTTGACATGGCATGACAAATTACTAGTAAAACAAGACTAGCATGTCTAAGGGACCGGATTCCAATGGTTATGAACATTGAATTAAAGGTGAATAAACCTCCATGCAAGGGAAGTTGGTACGAAACTATACGAATCCAATTAAATAATGTAAACTCATCAATATATTCTGAGTGTACCGTGTAATCAGTCACTTGTCTCTGAAAATAACCCTAGTATAAACATATTAAGGTATATAGGTATTTTTTTTCACAGACAGTGCATGTGCGTGTAACAATGTTATAGTAGTCTCAGATACATCTGAGAAAGCGGGTATAGGTCTACATTGCATCAAGCTTCACTTGTTAAAAATATAAATTAATTAGGAACGTTATGTTTTTATCAGTTACTAAAATTATTACAAAATAATTTAATTTTGGATGTAACGCGTCTTCCGATTGGCTGACGTTGTTTTGTTTATCAGCTCATAGACATAATTTTGTCATGTGACCTTGACGTCATCAACGTTTTTTCATGATTTACACCGGTTTAAAATGGAATTAAAAATTAAATTATAAGAAATGACTGTAATATTTTTTCTGTCTATTCGAAATAACATAAAAAATGTGGTGCACACTTTAAAATAACCCGCCACGCGGGTTATTCAGTGTGCACCACATTTTTGATGTTATTTCTTCATAGACAGAAAAAATATTACAGTCATTCCTTAAATAAATTTGAAGGAGTCAGGATGACCTAGAGATGAAGGATATACTATGAATACTCTGGTACATACTATTCCAAGGTATACAATACCCCATTTAATTATCCCATCATGAGGGGAATGGTGTTCGAGGGAAATATCTAAGAAATATGATTAGATGTGTCACATTTAAGATCTTCTTGAGAGGCTGGGAATGGATTTCATCCATGACATTTGTTATGAAAAACTGCAACAAAAACAAAACAGAACTTTCAAGTCTTTGGTTTGACCTGGTCGGGGATCGAACTTACGGTCTCACGCAATCAAGACGAGCAAGCTGCTGACCACCAACATTTCAATGGAACATTAGTTCTTTTCTAAAATTGCTTAGGAATCAAATTTCACTAGATCCATAATGACATATGTTTCGATTTTTATATCCGTATGTAGTACGATCATGGTTTAATAAATGCATCAAATTCCATGAAATCTGAGACTACTATAATATGTGCTATAGTAGTCTCAGATGAAATGAAACCCTGTTCTTTATAAAAAGTAAGGAGTTGTATGATTGTCAATGAACCAACTATCCAAAACAGACCAAAAGTCAAGGATGTAAACAATTACAGGTCATCATAATTTATGAAAACTCATGCTATAAACTTAGCTATAAAATATCCTGGAAAGCGAAATGGTTATTATTCAAGATGGACGATTCAGCTAAGAACAGGCGGCAATCAACAACCTCTGGACATGCTACGGACAGGCACACAAACTACCAGTATGCCCCGTTTTTGAGATGTTACTTCAGCTTCTCATGAACAATATATGGTCATGTATAATTATAGCTGTAAACAACAAGAGTGTACACACAGAAATGTCTCACCTGCATTTCTGACCATGCATTTATTTTATGTTGAAAATCTTAAATATGAAGGTTTTACTACAAGTATCACATAAACAACATTTTTAAAGATCCATGACAATGAGGTCAAGGTCAGATAAATCCTCTCAGACAGACATGTACACCTTGCAATTATTCAATACACCAAATGTAGTTTACCTTTTGCTTATGGTAATTGAAAAACAGACCAAAACACGACCAATGATCCAAGAAAATGATGCCAAGGTCAGATGGTACCTGCCAGACAGACATGTACACCTTACTATTATTCCATACCCTAGCTAGCTGACCTACTGCTTATAGTCTTTGAAAAACAGACCAAAACACAAAAACTTAACATTGATCAATGAACCATGAAAATGAGGTTAAGGTCAGATGAAACCTGCCAGACTGACCTTTGCCCCTTACAATTATTCCATACACCACATATAGTTGACCTACTGCTTATATTATCTATGAAACAAACCTAATCATGTAACTTTAACCTTGATCACTTATCCATGAAATGAGGTCAAGGTCAGGTGAAGTCTGTCTGACGGACATGTAGGTGTTGTAATGAACCCAAATACCAAATATAGTAATCCTATTACTCATTATATGTGAGAAATTCACATGACAAAAAAAAATCTGTAAATTTTTTTCAAGTAGTAGCTGAACTATGAAAATGAGGTCAAGAACAATGGGCATATGACAGATGGAATTTCGTAACATAAGATAACTGCATACAAGGCATGAAGCATCCAGGTCTTCTACCTTATGAAATATAAAGCTTTATACAAATAGTTTACACTGCCGCCACTGGATAGTTTCCCCCATGTCTCGCATACTGTGACTTTCATCGCAGGCCAGAAAAAAAAAAATAAAATTACATATAAAACAAGACCTGATTATTAAATTTATTAAGAAAATTCATAGAAAAAACAATGTTAGTTAATAATGTAAGAATGTATATAACACATTAAAAGAAATGTAAATAATATAGACAACATAATGTTAAAAAACAGTAAACAATACTTTATTCTGAACATATAAGCAAAAGCACTTTATTTCATAATTTTTTCTCGCCTCAAGTATCCATTAAATTTTCAGGAATTTCACCCCCCATTTCAAAAATCCTGTATCCACCCCTGAAGCAGGTCACAAAAAACATATACCTATCCCCCTGTACTAGTTTGAAGAAATAACTTAACTTGTCAATTCAAATTAATTGTAAAAATCCAATAATCTTTTTATATTATTTTCCAGATTAAAGTCCGTGTGAAACTACAAGAACAAAAAAATCATCAGTCATTAAAAATTATAACGTCATTTGTAATACAATATTGATTAATTGATTATTGTTTGCTTAACTTCCAGTGGCAATTATTTCATGTTTATTGATTGATTGATTGTTGATGTTTAACACTACATTCAACTCAGGTTACATCATGGCAGCAAGTATTTATTGGTGGAGGAAGCAGTGACCTCAGGGAACCACAACCTTTGGAAGGAAAACTGCCACACTTTAAAGCACTTTCTCTCTGCAAACTTGACCTTTCAAAAGGCATCCAGACAACACATTCATTTTTTTAATGAATAAGTCCTTTATAAAAAAAAGTCAAGTTATAAGCACACAGCCAACATCAAAGATGCCCTTGTTTTCTCTCTGAAATCTAAACATTGTGATAAAGAAATAAATTACTGATTGTTTCAAATAGACATTTTAGTACCGGTAAAATGTTTTTTTTTTATGTAAAGATGCACTCATGTCAGAAAACATAAATCATTTATGAGACCTAGCTGCCAATTAAAAAAAAATAAAGATTTTTAAAGTGGTTTTGCAATGTTCAAGTTCCCAGCACCCTCAAATGACCTATCTCAATATCTCAAGGAATTAGTTTATTTAGTCTAACAGTCTGTTGATGATTTTTTGGGTAAAATATGCAATTAATACTGACCTTTGGCTTCATTCTATTTTGGTAATACCAGGTAGTTATACCTACCTAAACACTGACTTAATCATTAAATAACAAATATTTTTTTAGAAATCCTCATGTTTTCAAAAATTAAAGTTAATTGTTAATGGAGCACTACTGTACTTTTAACTTATCTCAATAAACAATCTTTTCTAGATTAAAGGCCTTAAAATTGAACTATAAAGACTCTTTATAAGGAGATACAATTTGAAAGGGGAATAATTCACAACTTTTAAGATTGGTGAGAATTCTTTGTAATAAAATATAACAAAAATACACTTCTTATCAGAAACTTTGGTAATGTTAACAATGAGATTCAGGCAAAACAATAATAAATTCTTAATGTATTATCTAGTTAAATAATGTACCACAAAACTCAAAATGTAAAAAAATTTGTTCTAAAAATTCTTGATGTGTTAGAAATCAATGAATGCTTTTCTGTATAATATAACAAATATATCTACAGTAAAACCATATCTTTCTATTGGACTTAAAATATTCAAATTTTTTGTTGGATTAAATTTTTGCATATTGAGTTGATTCTTACTGGAATTCTTGTTTATTCTAACTTTTAATTTCATGCTGAACCAATAATAGGAGCAACAGTAACAACAATAACAAAAATAATAAACAAAATCCACCTGTTTCTGGAAGTTAGGAAGTACAAAAGCAGGTACTTCTGATCTGAGAAAGAGGCAAAATAAACCCTTTTATATAAATTTCATACAATAACCAAATTATTAAAAATCAAAATTTAAAACGTACTCTACAGTGACCCCAGTTCTTAACCTTTCATTTGATACTAAATTACCTAAATATTTTATACACTTAAAAAGTTACAGCTATGTGTAAGAACTATTTTGTGTTAAATATGTACTACTTTCTGGAATGGTGTAAGACTGGGTCCTCAATATGGTTCTGCACCTAATTTTTAGGAATATATCAGTCTAATCACATTTAACGGAATAATCATAATCATCAAATCAAAATGTTACTGATTGAAGTAATCATAAACACAAAATTGTTTGTTATCTTGCTTTTAAGCCTTAACAGTCACTAGTTATTTTAAACCACACATAATAGCTGGATGCACAATTTGCATGAAATCTTAAACTTCTATTCTATATTTTTGATGTGTTCATCTTATCTTTATTTTGAAATATAATATCATCTTCCTGCAACAAGTAAGAATAAAAAGGGAGATAATCCCAAACTGTGCATGTACATACAAATTCACTAAAAATGTAAAAATAGATATTGTCAACTTGAAAATGAACAAATTCTCAATCTGATAATTTGATTCTATAAATGGATTGTTTTCAATGAAAATCTCCAAAGAAGTTCTGAAGAGGATTAAGGACTGTTTCATAATTTAAATTTAGAGGCCTTGGCCATTCAGCACATTTTGAAAACAAAAATCTCACAACATATTTATTAAAGTTTTGAATTTTTTATTTCCATTCATTATATTTTTAGAGATGAACTATCATGAATATAAATCTTATTTATTATATTAATAATTGTGCAAATTCTTTACAGGAAAATGTTTTAAAATACAAATCACCAGATTTCAGACTTTATCATGAATTCTCAACAATATTTTTATACGAAGGCATAATATGTCAAAACAAAGTTTTAGGCAAGATCTGTGTTAGCATACATAAAACTATTTAAAAAATTGAAGATTACATTCTGTATTTTTTGAAAATTAGTCATGAGATTCATATAGTTGCTCAATATTGTAACCAGTTAACTGCCATATGTATAAATCAGACCTGCCAACTTTCACTATTTATGGGGGATTTCCCTCATTAGAGGTGTTGACCTGAATTTTGATTTTCTTTATTATATAAACTGAAGACCTCAAAACAGACATTTAAATGACTAAAGAGGGTATTAAAATACTTACATACTCATGCAAACAATATAGGAGTAGAATAAAAACACTTATGACAATGTAAGAGGAGCAATAAGGGTCCTCCTGCGATTAAAATCCTCCATGGAGATTTTGAAAAGTTGGCAGGTATGATAAATCATATTATCTTTTTTAAAAAACTGGCAATTTATCGATTCACAGGTTCATGAAACATGCAGAAACTAGAAAAATCTGAGGTCAAAATTTTCATTTCTACTAAATCAAAATTGCTGTTATCATGTTAATAAACAAGAAAGGATATGGTATACAGTAATGTTTTATATTTATCTAATGTTTCCATGTGGTGATGGAAGATATTTTATTTGAATGAAAAGAAAAAACAGACGAAATTTTATCCATACACCAAATATACTGAAGAAATATTCATTGGAATGGCTCCATATTGTAGTTGAAATGATTATGTAATGGTAAACAGTAAAAATTATATTATGCGGTCAAATTGACTTTGTCGAAAAATAAAAGGTTAAAGCACAGGTTAAAGAAGTAGTCAGTTACGTCCACTGTAAATTCAGAAATTATTGCGTGCATCTATTAATGCAATTTTTGAAGAATGGACAAAAATGTTGCGATTTCAGGAAAACCTACTAATGCGAGTTCTTATTATTGTAATACTCATCCAGTCGCATTATTCACAAAAATAAAAACCTCACAATAATTTTCTGAATTTACAGTATATCCACCAATGTTAATTTTCAAATTAATTGATAAGATTATGGCAGTTTAAAGCTGCATCAGCAGGCAAGGGCTATGTAGCAAAAGCAGCTAATTAATCAGTGTTAGAATTAAGGCAGGAAGTATTTTGGTGTATCCATATGAAATCCATGTGTTTTAAAATTTCTATGTCCTGATTTATAATTTCCAAACCTGAAATAAAAAGTACAAAAATAATGACATCATCTATTATGTAAAGTGCAAGTGTACTAGTTTCCCTAACTCTATTTCTTTTTTGATGATTACTAAAAAATATTAGCATAATTTAAAACTATATTGGCCAGCAAAATAGGGATTTCTCAAAATATTAGCATAGTGTATATTGGCCAGCAAAATAGTGATTTCTCAAAATATTAGCATAGTGTATATTGGCCAGCAAAATAGAGATTTCTCAAAATATTAGCATAGTGTATATTGGCCAGCAAAATAGAGATTTCTCAAAATATTAGCATAGTGTATATTGGCCAGCAAAATAGGGATTTCTCAAAATATTAGCATAGTGTATATTGGCCAGCAAAATAGGGATTTCTCAAAATATTAGCATAGTGTATATTGGCCAGCAAAATAGGGATTTCTCAAAATATTAGCATAGTGTCACTATATTGGCCAGCAAAATAGAGATTTCTCAAAATATTAGCATAGTGTATATTGGCCAGCAAAATAGGGATTTCTCAAAATATTAGCATAGTGTATATTGGCCAGCAAAATAGGGATTTCTCAAAATATTAGCATAGTGTATATTGGCCAGCAAAATAGAGATTTCTCAAAATATTAGCATAGTGTATATTGGCCAGCAAAATAGAGATTTCTCAAAATATTAGCATAGTGTATATTGGCCAGCAAAATAGGGATTTCTCAAAATATTAGCATAGTGTATATTGGCCAGCAAAATAGGGATTTCTCAAAATATTAGCATAGTGTATATTGGCCAGCAAAATAGGGATTTCTCAAAATATTAGCATAGTGTCACTATATTGGCCAGCAAAATAGAGATTTCTCAAAATATTAGCATAGTGTATATTGGCCAGCAAAATAGGGATTTCTCAAAATATTAGCATAGTGTATATTGGCCAGCAAAATAGTGATTTCTCAAAATATTAGCATAGTGTATATTGGCCAGCAAAATAGAGATTTCTCAAAATATTAGCATAGTGTATATTGGCCAGCAAAATAGAGATTTCTCAAAATATTAGCATAGTGTATATTGGCCAGCAAAATAGGGATTTCTCAAAATATTAGCATAGTGTATATTGGCCAGCAAAATAGGGATTTCTCAAAATATTAGCATAGTGTATATTGGCCAGCAAAATAGGGATTTCTCAAAATATTAGCATAGTGTCACTATATTGGCCAGCAAAATAGAGATTTCTCAAAATATTAGCATAGTGTATATTGGCCAGCAAAATAGGGATTTCTCAAAATATTAGCATAGTGTATATTGGCCAGCAAAATAGGGATTTCTCAAAATATTAGCATAGTGTATACTGGCCAGCAAAATATCAAGATAAATATTTATTTTTATTAATACTGCATAAAAGTTGTAGAAGTGTGGTGTGACATCAAATACTATTGGTAATTCATCTTATTTTTTAATAAATCTTATTCTGTGTTTTCCATTCATTGAAATTGATGGTGAACATATCATTCAAAATGAATATATGTCTTTTTTGCCTTTTCATTTATAAATGCAAATGTGGATACATATTTTTTTGAGAACTGAGATATTAACTAAGATATTTGAGTATTTAATTGTTTGATTTTAAATAAATATGTTTATTACTTAAATATCCACTTATTCTGTTCTGAAAACGTACACAGACAAATGCCAAAAATAAGCCTACTAATATGAGGGTCAAGCCTGAATCCCTTTTATATTAAGCAGATCAACTTATACTCTAGTATATACTGTACATGTATTTTACTTTTGTTTTTTTAAATGGTCTGCAAAATTACTTACTTTTTATTAAAATGAACCTCTTTCTTAACCATTGACGGATCAGTTATAATTCTTGTATTGTCTTTATAATTTTTGGGATCATCTGGAATTTCAAATTTGGCCATCTGTATCTCTGTATCACTTAATCCTGCATGTGTTATTCTAGCATACCCTAGTCTATAATAGATTGATAAAACATTGATAACTTATTGTCCAGTGGCAAATTTCATATGCATATTCAGGTTCATGTCATATTTAAAATATACACTGCTTAAAACTTTGAAAGATCCACTAAAACAGGTTTATCTTGTGCAATCTATCTATCAAGGGAACAACTGAAAAGAAGACATGTTAGGGAACGACCATTTAACTTCAACGGGGGGTTATGGTTTTTTCCTAAAAAAATATATCTGATCCCCAATTGGATGAAAAAAAAAATTGTGGTCAAGCAGATGACAAAAAAAAATATATTCTGAATAAGATTTTTCCCATACCTTATAGTGTTAAATTTAGAAAAAAATAATTTGATTGATAGCGTCGAAATACTAAAAAAAATGTTCGCGCTTTGTGTGAAATTTTTTTTCTGACTCAGACAAAAAACCATAACCCTCCCTTGAAGTTAAATGGTTGCTCCCTTACTCAACAATGAAACATTATTCCAATTCTGTGTTAATCATTTTCCTTGTTACTCGTAAATGCTGTCTTCTTAATATATAGCTTTATCTTAAAAAATGTACCGTAGATGGGGTGATTCGACTGTTTGTTGTATTGAGTGAAGTGTTGTTTCATTGCCAAAAGTCTCTTACTCCTACACTGATAATGGTTTACAAACCTAAGAAGTTTTTTTGCTAAACACAGAAAGTATATTAATATAATAAGGATATGTGGTGTGATTTTTATTGATACAGTTATCCCACAAATGTTCTTCACAGACCAAAAACTGTTAAGAATCTACAGATCATCATTTTAATTCAAGAATGGGTCAGATAATGTTTAAAATATAAACCAACCTTTTTAAGCCTCTATACATTATATATTCACACCATCTATCATAATCTGTTTCATCTATATCTTTTACATTACCAGCCTTGATTAAATTGTCATATTCAGGGCTGTGTGGAGCAGACGTCACATATCCAAGGAATATAACAGGATTTTCACTGAAATTATTATGTAAATATTAAGTTATTTTTTATCACTACAAAGTTTCTAGAAAATGATCTTTCTGTCAGTTGAAATCTGATTTTTCTTTCTTTCAGGAACTGCAAGCACTATTTGATCATGATTCTGGTTTCGTCTTATTATTGAGATATTCTTTTACTTAGTATATATATATGTATCAATTTGTAAATTAAGCTCATTCTACTTCCATATTTTCTTAGTTTGGTACATTGTTTTGCTGTAATACTACTGACCAAGGTTAAGGTGAAAACAATGGCATATACTATTGCACATTTCTAATATCAGGAACCTATTAAAGATACTCCAGATATTTTGTTTACTCTCTTTTAAAATGTCCGTATTTTAGCCTTTATGTTGATGAAAAAGTAGACCACTATTTTCTCTTTTATAATTTTCATATTCAATTTAATAAGGTCTCTTTGCTCCTACTGCTTGCTCCTCATTTGAAATGAAACTTTATGTCCTTTATGAAAATTAATTGTTTTGCATTTTTCATGTCAGGTACTTTTATAGCTTGCTGTGTGGTATAGGTTTTGCACATTGTTGGAGGCAGTGTGGTGACCTATAGTTACTTTTATGTCATTTGGTTTCAGGTGGAAAGTTGTCTCATTGGCAATAATACCATATTTTCTCATTTTTATATTCATAAGTCTAAACATGTTTCAAAGTTTTATCTTGGTAGTAAATACTATTTCTCTAATTCTAACCCAATTTATCCTTTTCCTGACCTGTTGGTTATTTTTATTTATTCAACGTGTGTTTTGTTTGATCTCATTTATTCAAGAGGGATTAAGATTGTCTGCATACTGTCTAAATATCATTAGAGAAACAGATTCCACCACCAAATCTCGTGCAATACGATATTTTTCCACTCTCGACAGTTAAATTATAAATATTTAGAATGCTCGACAAGCCTCATGTTTTAAATTTGAAAATTTAAGTGTCTCTAGTGGATAAATATCGTATCACACTTGATGCAGTGGTAGAATCTATCTATATCATACCATTCTGTAAGCTCTTTTGCTAGGAACTTTGCCTGAAGTTTTCTGTCTAATCTGTCTCTATGGTTACCCATATGTGTAACAACAAAATCTACAGGATTACCACTGATGTTTACTGTAGCTGTGATAGCTGGAGCCAGTTCTCCTGAAAGTTCATTTGAATTCATACTACTACCGGTTCATTTATTTTTCGTGGATAGAGAAAAGCTTGTATTTTTCGTGGATATATTTGATTTCATGGATTTGCTAGAGTCTGCATACAAGCCTACAGAAAATTTGTACTTCGTTGAACATTCAACATTCTTGGTTTACTTTTACAGACAAAATCAATGAACATGCTATTTTCACATGTCTCGATCTGTGTGAGAAAAATATTTCTTCTCTCTAGAGAAAACTTTGATCTGACTCAGCAAATAATTGGTTGAAATTTCAATTATGACGTCAATTTTTTTTGATTTCTTCTGAATTTCCTATTGTGATGTCATGAAAAAAGGTGACCATGCATGATGACGTTACATATAAAGAACACAACTTTCTGCAAATCTTTGAAGAGAAAGGATAAACTTGTTTAGATATCTTCTTAAAATCATTAGAGAAACAGATTCCACCACTATATCTCGTGTATTATGATATTTCTCCACTTGATGTAGTGGTGGAATCTATATATTACATGAATAACTAGACATCATTGTGATGTGAGTCATCTCTGTGGGCCCCCCTGTGAATAACGTGTGGTAAAAAATTTGTATCTTTACCATAGGACATGGGGTTGTCAACTGAAACCAAAGTTTTTGACATTGACCTTTGACCTAGGAAGTTGTACATACATTATGACACACTCTCTGGTGTTGGTTAATATACATGTCAAGTATAAACTTTGAAATCATAACGGTTCTTAAGATATAGAGCGGACACGATCTTTACCATAGGACATGGGGTTGTCAACTGAAACCAAAGTTTTTGACCTTGACCTTTGACCTAGGAAGTTGTACATACATTATGACACACCCTCTGGTGTTGGTTAATATACATGTAAAGTATAAACTTTGAAATACTAACGGTTCTTAAGATATAGAGCGGACACGATCTTTACCACAGGACATGGGGTTGTCAACTGAAACCAAAGTTTTTGACCTTGACCTTTGACCTAGGAAGTTGTACAAACATTATGACACACCCTCTGGTGTTGGTTAGTATACATGTCAAGTATAAAGTATGAAATCATAACGGTTCTCTAGATATAGAGCAGACACAATTTGTTACGGACGGACAGACTGATCACTATAGGGGGGCCCTACTAATGAATCCACAGTCTATAACTACAGTCACTGTGATAAAACATTCAATTAAATTATTACTGGTGTACAGATAGCAAATATAATATATAAAGTAATTAAATACATGTAGCAATATTTTTCTGCATAATCATAAGCTCAATCATTGTTAACTAGATAATGTTTTATTGATTGGTATGCACATGAAATTCTAAAGTTTTATACTATTATAATTGTTTGCAATATTTAAGTCTTCGATTGATGTCTTATGTACACAAGAGTGCACACGCTGAAATGTCTCGCCTTCTTTACTAATCATTGATATTATGTTGATAGTCCTAAATATAAAGCTTTATTACAACTGTCACATAAACTTAACATTAACCAAGTAAACTAAACATTGACCAATGAACCATGAAAATGAGGTCAAGGTCAGATGAACCATGCTAGGCAGGCATGTACAGCTAACAATTCTTCCATACAACAAATAGAGTTGACCTATTGCTTATAGTTTAAGAAAAACAGACCAAAACACAAAAACTTAACACTGAGCAATGAACCTTGAAAATGAGGTCAAGGTCAAATAAAACCTGCGTGACTGCCAAATAGATCATAAAATATTTCCATACACCAAATATAGTTGAACTATTGCATATAGTATAAGAAAAACAGACCAAAACACAAAAACTTAACTATAACCACTGAACCATGAAAATGAGGTCAAGGTCAGATGACACCTGCCAGTTGGACATGTACACCTTACAGTCCTTCCATACACCAAATATACTAGACCTATTGCTTATAGTATCTGAGATATGGACTTGACCACCAAAACTTAACCTTGTTCATTGATCCATGAAATGAGGTCGAGGTCAAGTGAAAACTGTCTGACGGGCATGAGGACCTTGCAAGGTACGCACATACCAAATATAGTTGAACTATTGCACATAGTATTAGAAAAAAAGACCAAAACTCAAAAACTTAACTTTGACCACTGAACCATGAAAATAAGGTCAAGGTCAGATGACACCTGCCCGCTAGACATGTACACCTTACAATCATTCCATACACCAAATATAGTAGACCTATGGCATACAGTATAAGAAAAACAGACCAAAACACAAAAACTTAACTATAACCACTGAACCATGAAAATGAGGTCAAGGTCAGATGACACCTGCCAGTTGGACATGTACACCTTACAGTCCTTCCATACACCGAATATACTAGACCTATTGCTTATAGTATCTGAGATATGGACTTGACCACCAAAACTTAACCTTGTTCACTGATCCATGAAATGAGGTCGAGGTCAAGTGAAAACTGTCTGACGGGCATGAAGACCTTGCAAGGTACGCACATACCAAATATAGTTATCTTATTACTTATAATAAGAGAGAATCTAACATTACAAAAAATCTGAACTTTTTTTTCAAGTAGTCACTGAACCATGAAAATGAGGTCAAGGACATTGGACATGTGACTGACGGAAACTTCGTAACATGAGGCATCCATATACAAAGTATGAAGCATCCAGACCTTCCACCTTCTAAAATATAAAGCTTTTAAGAAGTTAGCTAACGCCGCCGCCGCCGCCGCCGCCGTAGCCGCCGCCGCCGGATCGCTATCCCTATGTCGAGCTTTCTGCGACAAAAGTCGCAGGCTCGACAAAAACTGTTGAAAAAATAATTGTGAATGTAAAAAACAGAATATAAGAGAATAATGAACTTACCATATCAGAAGGACAGAAGATGGTGAGTTGAGTTGACTATTAGTAAACAGATGTGGTGAAGGCAGAAGATGGTGGCTGAACGGTTTTACCTAGTGGTAAGGCAGAAGATGGTATGTCAATTTCATTATTGGATAATTTACCATATGGAGAAGGCCAAAGATTTTCAGTTGATTCACCATTTGTGAACCTACCATAGGCAGTGGGAAAACAATGGTTAGTTGATTTCACTATTGGCAAACTAACCATGTGGTGAAAACAGATGATAATTGATGAATCTATTATGTGGGAAGGGCAGAAGATGGCCAGTCTATTTCAGTATTGGTGAACTTACCATGAGGTGAAGGCAGAAGATAGTGAGTTGATTTAAGTATTGATGAACTTACCATGTGGTAAACAGAACATGGTGAGTCGATTTACCTATTGAAGAACTTACCATGTGGTGAAGGCAGAACATGGTGAGTTGATTCAACTATTGGTGAACTTACCATGTGGTAAACAGAACATGGTGAGTCGATTTACCTATTGAAGAACTTACCATGTGGTGAAGGCAGAAGATGGTGAGTTGATTTAACTATTGATGAACTTACCATGTGGTGAAGGCAGAAGATGGTGAGTTGATTTAACTATTGATGAACTTACCATGTGGTGAAGGCAGAAGATGGTGAGTTGATTTAACTATTGATGAACTTACCGTGTGGTGAAGGCAGAAGATGGTGAGTTGATTTCACTATTGGGTACTTAGACAGAATCAGGTTTCTGAAAAAAAAAATTATTGAAGATTTTGTGTGATATTCTCTTTCTGGAAAAAAAATGTTTCTAGACAAAGTACATATAGAACATTAGTGGAATTTTGTTTTACTGAACTATTTATTCTCTCAAAGCTAATAAAATATATCTGCACATTGTTCTTAAAGAAGATATTTTGTTAGGGTGTTTGTCTTTCTTGTGTTGTCGATCTAATAATTCAAACTTTTTGTTTCCTAGATGTTCTTTTTTAATTAAACTTTCTCACTTTAAATCTTTCCTTGTCTTAAGAATGTATGATTCTAAAAATTTGTCATGAAAATAAAGGTCTTTTAAAGACAGGAAGACCAGAAAATAAAACCTACCCCCATGTATGATCCTTTGTTGCAGGTCCAAAGTCCACATACATTCCTAATTTTTCACCAAACCACATGCCCAGATCATTATTTCCCAGGAAAGGCTTAGAGGCATCACTCTCTAGTAAGGTTATAACATCAGCCCCTGAAAATAAAGTACATTCAAGGATATATTAACCTTGTATACATGTTTCTGAGACCTTGTGTGCACAAGATGGACACATCATTCTGTATTAGTTAGATGAGGGTAGTAATGCCCTTTACCGTCAGGCGTCAAACGGTCATTTTCGGCTACCGTTAGTGTCAAATTGGTTACAATTTTACCGTGATTTGTCAAAATATCCTTATCGTGATTCGTCAGAGGTCTCAAATAATTATCTTTACCGTTATTTTTGGAAAAAAATTTAACGTGATTCGTCAAAATCAGTCCATTTTTTTTACCGTCTAAAAAAAAGTGTACATTTTATCGTCATGAACCAAAAATTACCGTTAACGTCATTTGGCAAGATTTTTTATCGTTATTCGTCATGAAGGTACCCCCATTACGACCCTCTTAGATATGCTAGAAATTAATCATTAAAGACCAAGGAGAATACAGACAGTGTGAAAATAGTGTAGGCAAAAAGATAACAAGAAATGATTGTAACAGGATGCTGTTACGAAGTCTCCCAAACGAAGCTCCCATAATTAGTAATTCCCAGGGTCGCCTGACATTGGGCAACGTCTAGTGAAAATTGGTTTGGTCCAGTAAAGTTATATGCATTAGTGATGCCTGGGGAATAGCCTTGTATATCATTCAAATCATCTTGGCATGACAAACCAGAATATATATGGTTTAGGGGTGGGTATCTCGACCATTTACAAGATACTAGAACATTGGGGGTGGGGAGGAACCCCTGGGGACTGGCCCTATACGTCATTCAAATGTTCATTACATGACGAACAGGAATATATATGGTTTAGGGGTTCGGGATCTCAACCATTTACAAGATATTAGAACATTGGGGGTGGGGGGAACCCCTGGGGACTGACTGTATACGTCATTCAAATGTTCGAGACATGACAAATAGGAATATATATGGTTTAGGGGTAGGGATCTCAACCATTTACAAGATATTAGAACTTTCTCAAATGGCAGGGGGTCGGGATGACCCCTGGGGACTAACCCTGTATATCATTCAAACCATCTTCGCATGACAAACCAGAATATATATGGTTTAGGGGTGGGGATCTTGACCACTTAGAAGATATTAGAACTTTCTTAAATGGCAGGGGGTGGGGGTGACCCCTGGGGACTAACCCTGTATTTCATTTGATGTGCTTTATCATGACAAACCAGAATATATATGGTTTAGGGGTGGGGATCTCGACCATTTACAAGATATAATAACTTTCTCAAATGGCAGGGGGTCGGGATGACCCCTGGGGACTAACCCTGTATATCATTCAAACTATCTTAACATGACAAACCAGAATATATATGGTTTAGGGGTGGGGATCTTGACCACCTACAAGGTATAAGAACTTTCTTAAATGGCAGGGGGTGGGGGTGACCCCTGGGGACTAACCCTGTATTTCATTTGATGTGCTTTATCATGACAAACCAGAATATATATAGTTTAGGGGTGGGGATCTCGACCATTTACAAGATATTAGAACTTTCTTAAATGGCAGGGGGTCGGGATGACCCCTGGGGAATAACCCTGTATATCATTCAAACCATCTTAGCATGACAAACCAGAATATATATGGTTTAGGGGTGGGGATCTTGACCACTTAGAAGATATTAGAACTTTCTTAAATGGCAGGGGGTGGGGGTGACCCCTGGGGACTAACCCTGTATTTCATCTGATGTGCTTTATCATGACAAACCAGAATATATATGGTTTAGGGGTGGGGATCTCGACCATTTACAAGATATTAGAACTTTCTCAAATGGCAGGGGGTCGGGATGACCCCTGGGGACTAACCCTGTATATCATTCAAACCATCTTAGCATGACAAACCAGAATATATATGGTTTAGGGGTGGGGATCTTGACCACTTACAAGGTATTAGAACTTTCTTAAATGGCAGGGGGTGGGGGTGACCCCTGGGGACTAACCCTGTATTTCATTTAATGGGCTTTATCATTTAGAACATTTTCAATTAAAAAGATTGTGTCTATCACAAACGGTTTTCAATTTATAATCATTTGAAAATTTTTAAAAATAAAATCCCATAGGGTTCTATAGTAAAACCCTATTTTCTTTTTGCCCCTCAAAGTACCCCTTTATAAACCCCATTGCACAAACAAAACCCTGATTGCACCACTAGACATGTTAGTCTAACATATTGTGAAACCCTAAGTTAATCTGACAAGCGGTTTTGGAGAACGGGTGCGGACAAGTTCAAATTTAAAAGCGGCGGAAGAAGAAGAAGAAGAAGAAGAAGAAGAATAATAATAATAATAAGAACTGAGCAAAAACAATAAGTCTTCCCAAACTTCGTTTGGGAGACTTAATTAAGAAGAATTTTATTTCTTTGGAATCAAAACTCTGAACTGAAGTGTCAGTTAAAAAATCTAACTGAAGTGTTAGTCTTTGCAGGGCTCCTTGTCAGAATCTGAATTGTCCTAAACTGGTACATATTTTTCAATTCAAACTCATCTAGGCTACCTTTATTTATTCTGAAGATTCACAAAAAAAGGAGGAGGAGGTAATTGAGGTGCTTTTACTGCAAATTTAACTAACCAGTTTTCTTGCTAACAACATTAAAGCTTAACATGGTTCATGTTACGATTAAGGGAAAATATCAAATGATATATTTAATTAATCAAGTGGTAATATTGTATTGTTCAGAGGAAAATGTAGAAAACATTTTTTTGGTGTGGTCAATATGATGGATTTGCACCCGATTACTCGATATATGGAGCGAGTACTCGACTGCACCTTTTGCCGTCCCAAATCCTTACACTAATGAATGAAACAAATTTATCTATTCACCGATATTTGTTTTTAAAACATTTAATATTTTCAACATGACTTGTGAAGTTTATGACATAACATAAAGTTCAATCAACAGATCAACAATTATGAGGAATGTAATAACACATACATAGAAAACACTGAAACAAGCTAATCTATCACGATCTATCGATGCAAGATGGAAATTCCACTCAAAATCTTTAAATATTTTATTACCTGAAATGATGATGATGACTTGAAGTATTAAGTGTCAACCTATTAACTTTCTAAACATGATCTATAATTCATGGTTTGAATGTTTACAATCAATAAAACAATGTCACATGTTGTGTAATTGGTTTTTCATTTCTATAGGGATAAATTAGAAATTTTAATGAATGTTCTCTTCTCCTGTGATCATCCTCCGCAGTTTAATAAATATTACAGTTCTGTTTTTGTAAATATTTCTAAATAATAGTCATTATTGATTGTTTTGTTCATTAGAAAGTTAATTATTTTCTAAAATTTACGCCCAATCAATTGCAAATAATTGCATAGTTGCATTAAATGTTAGAACACACATTATGTAGAACTCCATATCAATTTGATCTAAAATAATTTATTGGTATAATATACCTGTATTTCAAAAATATGATACTATAAATTTTTACTACTCAAAAACTTTTCTTTCCTATATCACTTTAAACAGGTAATATGTAAGGTGAAAAAAGATAATTTCATATTTCAAGTGGGAATGAGGGCATAATTTGAAAAAGGTCAATAAGTATCATAAATCATTATATTTTATAGTTAATGGAGTGTTGTACTGTAGTTGTATAAGATTAGTAATTGTCAATTTCACTTGGATTTTTGTTGTGTTTTGAAAAAAGAGAGACAAAGACATCACTCACATATCAAATAAACTAATTTTTACAATCCTGAAAAGAATTCAAGTACCAGTGTTCCCAGCATTGCACATATTTCTCAGCAATTACTAAAACAGGAGTGCACACGCTGAAATGTCTCGCCTGTTTTACTGACCATTGATTTCATGTTGAAAGTCTTAAAGATAAAGGTTTTACTACAAGTATCACATAAACTTAACATTCTTAAAAATCCATGACAATGAAGTCAAGGTCAGATAAAAACTGTCACACAGACATGTACACCTTACAATTATTCCATACACCAAAGATAGTTGACCCATTGCTTATGGTAATCGAAAAAACAGACCAAAACACAATAAACTGCTTCGCTGAGTGCAGCTGGATACGCCCGCAGAGGTCCAACCCTGAACAGTTGGGGCAAAAATGGACACAATATTCAAGCTCGATACAGGTCTGAATTTGGATTGTAATTAAATGTTTGACATATTATAGGTTTCAAAATAAATGTAGTCAAAGAACTTGAAATTGGTTATATGAATTGAATTTATATTCAATTAAAGATTTCTTGCTGTTGTGCAATACACTCTGCTGTTGCGCAATACTTAGTAAATCTGTTGTCAGACTATAAACAAACAATAACTTCTCAATGTTATATCAGAAATTTATAAAAAAACTAAAGGGAGGTTATCTTAATAGATATAAATCAATCATCAAAGTTTAATGAAAACTGCTCTAAGCACTTTAAGGATATTGTTAAAAAATTTGAAAATCAACCCATTTTTTATGAATAAAATCTTATAACTCGGAAACGTAAAATCTTAAATTTATAAAAATCAAAAGGGAGCTTACAACAATAGATATAAACAATTTACCAAAGTTTCATAAAAAATGCTGAAAGCATTTTTGAATTATTGTCCGAAAACTGGAAAATCCCCCTTTTTGTAATGAATAAAACCCCATAAATCAGAAACGTATAGTCTAAAATTTAAAAAAATCAAAAGAGAGCTCATGTCGATAGAAATAAACAATTCATCAAAGTTTCTTGCAAATTGGTGAAATTGTTTTTGAGTTATTGTCCACAAACTGGAAAATCCCCCCTTTTTTAATGAATAAAACCCCATAACTCGGAAATGTAAAATCTAAAATTTATAAAATTCTAAAGGGAGCTTACATCAATACTGAATAGATATAAACAATTCACCAAAGTTTCATAAAAAATGCTGTAAGCATTTTTGAGTTATTGTCTGAAAACTGGAAAATCCCCCTTTTTGTAATGATTAAAATCCCATAAATCGGAAACGTATAGTCTAAAA